GGGCAGGGTATAGATTATTAAATCCTTCTACTAAATCGTCTGGGTTTCTTTCAATACTGAAAGAAGAGCAATCTTCTAAAAGACACTTCTGTCAAATTTCATTGAAATTGTTTCACTCATTTTTGAGCAGCGATCAGAAATGTGTTTTTTTGAACTCTTCTCACGGACGAACGGTACATTTTGGTTTGAAAACAAATTGGTTCCAATCAATTTATTTCGACCTCTATTATACGTGGTATTTCTGTGTCTCAGCAATTTTGGTGCACCCTGTATTCAAGTAGGTCCTGCAAAATTTGTTTTTTTGATATGTTGAATATTGCTTTTGGGTGTATGATAAATTGACATTCATCATACAGGGCGTGGAAATGAATTCTGAATTGAGACTCTATCACGAATCTGCGATTAGAGGTCTATAAAAATCACAAGTTTCCATCGTTCAAGTTTGAACCCCCTGAATGGGTATGAAAGTGTTGAAAAGGAATATTCTCAGATAAATTATGAACATACAAAAATGGATATATATTTATATAAAGCAATACATTGAGAATTCGCATTCTCTATATGTGATGAGAATATTTAATCTTTTTCAGTTAATTCAATAGAAAACAACTACTTTCCTGGCTATATGCCACGACGAACATTGAATTATATCTATTGAACACACACGATAAGAGTTTGAAAATAAAATATAAAAATTTCTGAAATTGAGAATTTGCATTCTCCTTCAGACAAAAATATGTATATACACACATTATTCTGAATATTCAACAGAAAACAACTACTTTCCTGGCTATTTGCCACGTCGAACATTGAATTATATCTGATGAACATTCAAAAGGGGAACATGAAAAATAAAGATATAATTCAATGTTCGTCGTGGCATATAGCCAGGAAAGTAGTTGTTTTCTATTGAATTAACTGAAAAAGAGTAAATATTCTCATCACATAGAGAATGCGAATTCTCAATGTATTGCTTTATATAAATATATATCCATTTTTGTATGTTCATAATTTATCTGAGAATATTCCTTTTCAACACTTTCATACCCAATCAGGGAGTTCAAACTTGAACGATGGAAACTTCTGATTTTTACGAGGATTTTTATAGACCTCTAATCGCAGATTCGTGATAGAGTCTCTGTTTAGACTTATAATGTTATCACATTCTTGGTATGAGCTGAACCTGACTGGAAGGCGATGAAAAAAGCTGAAGAAATTGTCAGAGCAACGGGACAACAAGATTGTAATAAAATATCGAATCTGATATGACATAGTTTGAATTTCAAAGAATAAAAATAGTTTGAATTATATCGTGAATACTTGTGTTTCCCCCGCAAGGGGTGGTCCTTCGACTATATTGAACCATCGAACGAATCCTCGCACGAAATAACAGTCTCAATTCAGAATTCATTTCCACGCCCTGTATGATGAATGTCAATTTATCATACACCCAAAAGCAAAAACGTCCAAATGACAGGAATAGAATGTCAACAAATTTCTCAGATGTCATTTCGTTATAGTTTTACTCGATTTTAGTTGTATTATATAGAGATGAAAATTGTGTATAATCATGAAGAATGGCTGTAAGAATAAGTGGACATCATGGTTACTGATGAGGATTCAGAGGTCCGAAATGGGTTCATTGCAATAAAGTCATATAACCTGTGTGTGAGAGATAATATTTCCCATATCACTGATATGAATGATTATTTTTTGGACGTTTTCAAGCTCATCAAGATCAGAGTTCGTGCCAGTATACTTCTCCTATACATTCCAATTTTCATTTCAATGCTGAATATATTGGTAAGTCATATTTCTAGATCATTATTCATCATATTATTCATCCGATTTGAAGAAGAATGTCAATTCTCAATTTCGGAGGATTTTATTCTTTATTTTTCATGTTCCCCTTTTGAATGTTCATCAGATATAATTCAATGTTCGACGTGGCAAATAGCCAGGAAAGTAGTTGTTTTCTGTTGAATATTCAGAATGATGTGTGTATATACATATTTTTGTCTGAAGGAGAATGCAAATTCTCAATTTCAGAAATTTTTATATTTTATTTTCAAACTCTTATCGTGTGTGTTCAATAGATATAATTCAATGTTCGTCGTGGCATATAGCCAGGAAAGTAGTTGTTTTCTATTGAATTAACTGAAAAGGAGTATATATTCTCATCACATAGAGAATGCGAATTCTCAATGTATTGCTTTATATAAATATATATCCATTTTTGTATGTTCATAATTTATCTGAGAATATTCCTTTTCAACATGTTGAATATTGTACATAATTATTGTGACCTGTCCCCCTGCTGAGAATATTTTTCCAGACGCCCCTGGTTTTATTGACTTCCCTTGTACCTATATTGAATAAGGTACAAAATCTAATATTTCGGGCGTTGCGACCGTTTCAAAGCATACAAAGTTGATTCTACCCTCGATTCTACCTATTCTATCTTCACAAACTACAATTCTCAATACAGTAAATGGACCACTCATAATTTTACTCTTTTTCGAAGACCTGTATTTTTTGAAAAAATTTACCGATCTCGATCTTCACGCGGTATTCGATATCAGTATATTGAAACAATACTCTGTGTCTCATACTTGGGCAATAAATATTGGAAATCAGTTGATAAGAATCATCGATATCAGGAAACAAGTTTCAATTGAGAATTTTCATCCTATATTTCAATTAGTGGTGAATTCTCGAAAACGTCTCAAGTTAATAGTCTGATATAAATAATAATGGATATCGAGGAGGCCTTTTCTGAATAAATTTACTGAATCGATTGGGTCATGGTTTTAGTCACCGTTTTTGATTTTTTCACCGAAATGAGATTTTGTCCTATTTTCTTATCACCCTGTATATTCCACAATGGTGCTTTTTCCGTCTTCATTGTCCCCCACAAAACATGACAATAGTTCTTCCCAATATTCAGCTCAACTGGAGTTCTAGAGAAGAAATTCAAGAAATGCAAGACTCGCAAAAAATCTAATTTTTGTTCCAATGGCCAATTGAGAAGAAATCACGAAAACGTCCCGAGATGAGGTCCCAGTGTATCATAATATGACTGACTTTTGATCAGAAAAAAATTTCTCGAGTTCTGGCAGTATTGGAAATGTATACCATAGTGAAATGGTTCCACTTATCACCCTGTGTATTCTGCGGATTTTTTCAGGGTGTTCTAGCTCTCTTTGAAGCCGAAGAAATATCACATCTGATATTGAAAACCGCATGAAGAACGGTCAATTTTTTCAAAACATACCTACAGGTATTCGAAAAAGAGCCAAAGTATGAGTGGTCCTAGTGTGTTGAGAACTGTATTTTCACGAAGAATCAGTGGGAGAATAAAAAATTAAAAAAACGTTGCATTCTGTAATTGTGTAACAATAAATGAAGGAACCTGAAATGACAAAAAAATGTGGAACGCTTCACGATTTTGCGTGTCATCCTTGCGCAGGGGCCATGCTAATCTTCTCTGTATCGTTCCAATTTTAGTATATGTACCGCCGAAGCGAGTACGTTAGCTGGTGAATTCAAGCTGTATTAATACCTAAGCCATCGGAGTTTCCGTCGGTGACATGTAACTTTGGAGTCTGTATGCATGGTTGCCAACTATCTACAGGTCCAGAGATAGAACCGGATAATGAAATACTTATATATCTCTGGGATAATTTCAGAAGGTAACAACGATTCGATATAAATATAAACGAACTCATTTCCGATGTAACCGGAAGTGACTAGGTTCATTTTAATTATTTTTTAGTATTTTTAAACACTATGATCGAATACCTTTAAAAACAATGAAGCCAGAAATCAAATTCACTTTCCTGCTCATAACGTTGAAGGGATTAGAAAGGAATTAAAAAGAACACATTGATGATCTCCAAAATATATTATATAATATTCATAAATATTCGCAGAAACGCATTTTAGTTCACCATAGAACAGTTTTTCCATTTGTCCCTATTTCCTTGGTCATCAAAATAGCACGGCAAGCGGCAACATCGAAAGTAGCAAAATATAGATTTTTGCGCAGCAACATTGGCTTTGCAGCGCCGACGCAATTTAACGACTGAAATTGGCAATAGTGGAAACTGGAAATTGACATTGTTGACAGTTCCGTTCTCAAGAGAAGTGGGAAGTGGGTTCGTCGATCTATTTCGATTTTTCTTTGTATTAGTGAAAATTATTAGTGAAATTACTAACAACATAATATTTCTTCAATAGGTAAGACTTCTTTGGAGCTATTATTTCACGTTCATTCATTTCAAATGTGGGAAAGTGGTGTCAATTTGGCGAGGTTATTACATAACATTACGCGAATTAAAATGATTGAATGAACAATTTTTGTTATCAGATAAAGATCATTCTCATACTCGATGATTCGAATTTAGTTCATTATTTTATACAAAACGTAGGTGAGGTATAGATATTCCACCTAGTTTTTCATTATCTAATCAGGGTCATGTACCACATGTCATATGTGTAATATGATTGATTGTGATTGACATTTCACTATTTCCGAGGCTGATATGGACCCTTCACAGTTTGAAATTTCGTTACCCGTTTGAAAAGAACGTTATAAATTTGTAGTGATATATCCTTATCAGTCCTCCGGTCCAAATTCTATATAATCTATTAAACCTAATCCCAAGTTCAAGGTGCAGGGAAAATTTGAACTATCAAGAGTGAATTTTACTCTTACGTCAAACGTGATACGTAATAATTAAATACTAACGGAACGAACATCCATCATTCATCATTGTGCAAATTCTCGCAAGACTTGACTCTTGACTGTGTGACGTGACTTCGTGACTCAGTTACACGTGCCTTCGCCTTCTTCTCTTACCTCACATCACATTCCATTCATTTTTAGAGGTTATAACTGAAGTTCATCAAATCGTTAGTGTTTAAAATGTGAAATTGTTGATAATTTATCAATTATTCTTTATTTCTAGCTCTTATTTATTCCAAAGAAAAATCAAACAATGGGAGTCCCAGCTGGAGATGTAGAAAAAGGAAAGAAACTTTTTGTTCAAAGGTGTGCTCAGTGTCATACTGTTGAAGCTGGCGGTAAACACAAAGTAGGACCCAACTTGCATGGGCTTATTGGAAGAAAAACTGGCCAAGCACCTGGTTTCCAATACACAGATGCAAACAAAGCTAAAGGTATGATGATATTACTGGAATTTATAAAATCTCCCATTCATTCACAATAAAATATAGTGAATTCATTAGTGAGATAAAATATATAATAAAATCAAAGGTCCTTGTCAATTGTGTAACAGTTGACGAATTTCTATGAATAAACTGGCAGTACTTGCAGCAATTTTGGCACACCTCACTACATATTAGGTGCATCATCTATATTTGATTCAATTGCTCTTGTCCTGATGGATACTTTATTGAATTTTATTTACCCATTATTCCTTATTATTTGATAGGTATCACTTGGAGTGAGGATACATTGTTTGAATACCTAGAAAACCCCAAGAAATACATCCCTGGTACCAAGATGGTGTTTGCTGGTTTGAAGAAACCTGGAGAAAGGGGAGATCTAATTGCATACTTGAAAGATGCAACTAAGTAAACAATTTTTAGAGAGCACTCACTTGTTTCTGAGTAAATTGAATTACGATTAAACTTATTTATTTATTCATTTGTGAACTTTTTTCACTATCGTAATTTTGATTTAATCAAATACAAAAAGCCATTTCAGCAGTAGTATTTTCATCCTGTACAGTTGTTATCTTGTCATGACAGGTGAAGTACTTGTACAAACTAGCCAATTTTCTCTTAATCATAAAAGTCATTTTTCTGTTAAATTGTACAGTATGAATTAGCCTTTAATTTTCTGTGTTTGTCGTCGTCCGAAAATCAATTAAATTATTATAATTTATGATTTTGTTTTCAATAAATCAAGGTTCAATAGAAAATGTCCTTTTTTTTCTGTTCCTCTTTTTGCCAATGTGAGAGGCAAGGCAAGCTTGAAGAATATTAGATTTCCTCCACATAAATATCAAAATCATTCTGCTGGGCATAATATATTAGTAATTTCCATAAAAGACAGTGGAGTATTATTTTTTATTATCTACCAACTCCTCTACCAATTATAATTTAATATCCACCTAATGTACCATGATTGATATTTGACAAACTTTTTTATTTATTGGTGCCAATGACTAGGTGAACACCAAATGATGGATTATTTGGACTTTGCCTGAAATTGGAACGAATTTTGGAGAAAAAAAATTATGTTTGGCATTGCGCTTCAGATAAAAAAAAGCAGATTACTCACTAGATTTTTTCTCCATATTTAGCAGACAATGGTCAAGATAACGATTTTCAAGGATGGTTGGTTTTTGCCGGTGTGTTTATTTCAATCGTTAATTGAATTGTCTGCTAGAGAGAAGAAATCTAGAGAGCTGTAGAAGATTTTTTCTTTATGTTTATTCAACAGAAATAGGAGGGTTGGTTACATTTGGAACGAGGAACACTGTATATATTATAAATTTTAAATAGAACATTCTATATATTATATATAGGATGCTCTATTTGAAATTTATACATGGTCTTCCTGTTCCCTGTATATTTCCTCAGATAGTGAACGTATCGTTTGATTCGTGGAGGAAAAACCCCTTTTTTAAGGCATTTTTAAATCTAATTTGCTGCTATAAAAAATAAAAGCAATGGCATTAGTGAGAAAATCTTTAATTGATATATATAATATATACTCTGTGACTCAGACTTACCAATCTTGAAATTTGAACATGTGGCATTTTAAATATAAGAATATATAGTAGGTATAATGTTTTTGGAACCGGTCAAATTATTAGACCATCAAACAAAACGCCTCACAAAAAGCAGTGCACTTTTTCTATGTATGTTGAGTATAGGTAGGTATACCTATATCCTTACCTATATCTCTAGAAAAAAAAACACGTTTTTTAATACTGCGTGGTTGAATATAATTATTATGAGATACAAAAATTTACTCAAAATACCAAAATAATTTTCAGATTTTGGTACCTAGCTATTTCGAGTACATTTCTGTATTTGAATATTAAAAAAATGAACAAATAACCCACAAACAAGTTATTTATTACACATGGGAAAATACTAGTAGATTTTATCTATAGGTTGTGTTGTGAGACAAAAAACCGTGAGCTAAAATCTAATATTTTTCCCGTGTATATAATACACTATTTTTTTCTGTGATAGGAAAAAGGTCGAATCAAAAAATTATCGACGTGAAATTTGAAGTTTTTTACAGGAATGACACCTGCGTTGCTAAAATGGAACAACCTCTGTATATTTCAATAGAAAATGCATTCCTATTTACATTTTCTTCCATGTGAAGTCATATTTCCATTATTTCTCAAATTTTTTTTTCGAATTTTCTCGTTTGTACTCTAAACTAAATAATCTTTAACTTTGCAACAATTTTCATCTACTATAGGCATGCCGTTCGGCAAATTGTTAAAACTGATGATACAATATAATATTGTGTCTAGTCATATATATATGTATATGGTGAATGATGAATTACAATAGACACATTATTTTAATAACCACACGTGATTTTTATCAATTGAGTTGATTTTTCAGTTGATTTAATAAACTTGCCAAATAAATAATTTTATGGAGAAGATATATGTATATTAATTATATCGATATTATCGTTATCGAGAAAATTTGAAGGACTCGTATAGTATTATTATATCTATGATAATTCTGCGGTAATTGCTATTATGAGCTTACAATAGTTGAAGAATGAGAATATTTCGAAAACTATGAACTTTCGATTAGGGATACATAATATCAGATGAAAGAGAATGAAACTCAAAACAAAAATATGCAGGCGAATTGGAATCAACATCCCTGTATAGTACGTGTTTTGAAATAATTCTAATAAACTTAGCAACGCTTATTAACATCATAATTTGTGAAGAAATATAGGGTATTCTATTGAGAAAAATCGTAACTCCTAATTCCTGCGTTCATAAAACATCCTAAAGAGATCAGAATAATTTTGATTTTCAGACCTTACATTGTAGGTACCATCCCAAAGAGGGATTTCGACTCTTTTCCCGGTATGAATAAATACATAGCGAATGCTTTCGTGAAGTACTTACTACATCATATACAGTGTGTCCCACACTTACCATGCTCACCATGGGTATCTTTTTAACGGTGAGAAATACGAGGTCGGTTAAATGACACCAAATGTGGAGTTTGTCAAGGCCAACTATAATGTGAAAAAATATTTTGATAAAATCTATTCGTTTTTGTTTTATACGCAAAAAACAGATTTTGATCATTTTCATGTCTGCTACGTAACTTCTTTATTTATGAAAATATTCAAATAGGAATTTCACATTCTCATGGCAGTTTTTCAGAGTGATTTCGAAAAAAATTTGAAATTTATACCAACTCTTCTAGAATTTCAGCACCAACTTTAGTCTTTCAAATGTAGTTCATTGCTCACTATGACTTAGTTACGAATAACTTTTTTTTCTCTTACCGATGATGTGTCACAGTAATAGTTTTGTGTTGATAACAACGGAGTTATCGTATATAAAAGCTAGTCGCGATGATCAATATTTCATTAAATTGTAATTTTAAAAATGATATCTCAGCAGATTTTAAATAATTAAATAAGTACTAGTTCATTCACACAAGTGAATCGCGCGACAAACTTTCATGATCATATAAATTGTGTATAATGAGGTTATAAGTTGATCGATAGTTAAAATTATTGAGAAAAATGTTCTTCTTATTAGAGCGTTTAAATAAAAGCTTTTTATCGAAAAGTTTATTTTTACTTTTAATTTATTTCATTATAAACTTAGATAGAAAAGTAAATCTTGCCAGGAATTTGTACGGTTAGGATAACATAACGTACTTCCGAATAGAGGTCACTAGCTTCCAGTAAACATGGTCGATAAGGTCGACTTTCGCAATTTTTTTAATGAACAGACGATATTGCTTATATCAAGGGTGTAGGGTGTCAGATAGATATAGTTTATCGATCATTACATAGACAACAGATTGGGTGCGTTTTTCATTCCAACATTTTGTCATGCGCATGAATCGAAGTAACCATCAAACTGTTGCAAAATTCCGCTGGAATGTTGATGGACATCCATCAAACTGTTGTAATAAAATGCGCACTTTTAAATTGCATTTCGAGAATCCAGCAGTTTGGAGGAGATTGACATGACAGTTGACACATTTTAGTGTTGTTTTTTGTTTTGATTTGATAGAAAACCATTAATATTGAGGATTTTTGAGATTCTTGAGAGATTTTAGAAGAAATAAGAGTCAGTGTTAATCAATAAAGTCGAATTAGCCTTTTCTGATTCTCAAGATACATGATGACTGACACACAACAAAATCCGTGTTTCCATCAATGTGTTGTGTAAACATAAACCATTGTTCAATCCTTCCAGCATAAATTCCAACAGAACAATTAGTGACGTCACGACAAAAAACCGCATCTATCAGTGCGCACTTTCTTCGATGGAATGAAAAACACGCCCATTCTTTCTTATGCGTCCTGTTTTCTGTGTTTGTGTGAGTAGGTAATTAAAATGTTCACACGAGACAATTTTGACAGTTTGGAATAGTGTTCCCTAGAGGTCACTAGAGGTTATACTCGTTTACTGAAAATGTGGTCATCAAGGGCGATTTTCGCTTTTTTACTGAGCAGACAATATTATACCTCTCACTAAAACAATAAAACACCCAACAACTAAAAAACATTTAATATCTCAAAACCTAAACCAATCAAACTTTTTGACATCCTATCTTGACGTTGATGTTACAAGACGCTAACTGCGTGACGAAAAACTTGAAGATGTAAGGTATTTCGATCTGTTCGATATTTTTCCCGTGTTCGCACAGTCTGCACATCTCGAGGGTGTCAGATTGGTGCGGTTTGTCGGCCATTCTGGTCACCACCGTCACTGGACCCAGAAGAGTTCCACAAGAAGTACAGATGAATGCCTGAAAGTAATAAGGTAGATTGTAGAGATTGTAGATTGTAGATGGGTCGTATAGGCTGAGAGACCTCTCGATCACTGCGACCTAGAAGATCTATTGTGATTACCCCTATCTAGTTTTGATCCTCTAACCCTAGACTTCTGATGAAGCCTACGATTTTCCTGACGGTTGACTATACCACTTCAGCAGGGGTGAGATAGACCTGTTCTAGGTGGTTCAGCCTTTGGCGGACTAATACTTCACATGAGCAAAGTATGTGTTCCGCGGTTTCGGTCGCATTGTTACAAAAGCGGCAAGTGTCAGTCTCCGCCAGACCCATCTTTTTGAGGTGGTACCTCAGAGGGCCGTGTCCTGTGAGAAAGCCTGTGATAAGCTTTAGCTCTGGTTTGCTGAGGCTGAGTAGATCTTTGGCTCGGTTCTGCGAATGGTTGATGAACCTTTTCGCTTGTCGTTGATCTGGAGTTGCTCTCCAGTAGGAGGACTTTTCAATTTCTTCCCATTTCCCGAGTTCTCCCTTTAGGTGACATTTGTTTATCCCACAAAAAGGCTCAGGACCAAAAAGTGCAGATGAAGTAATAAGGTAGTTATAGGTATGTTCTTTTTTACACCACATTTTCATCATTGATGGAAGTGACGTCACTCTCTGATGCACCGAATAGGGAATTTCACCATGATTTTTTGAATTTTTTTTTTCACGATTTAGAACACATACTGGGTGAATTCAACATTTTTTCAATTTCCTTACGATTGTGGTTGACCCAGAAAAAAATTATTAAATTGAACCCAAATTCAAACGATAGCTCGAATGCGCGCGAAATATTGATGGCATTTCATTGGAAGAATACAAGGTGCGTCACACCGCGTCATACACTCCGGACGGACATTTTCATTGGGTAATTCGTCTTGTCACTTGGTCTTGTCACCATTTGTCATTGCATTTATCACTCAATAAAAACTATAATATGACACTGATAGATCACTGAAAATGAAATGAAATAATGAACTATGAACTAGATTTCGAGGTTAATCTTTTTCTTTTTCTATAGTTTGTTTTGTAGCCATTTTTCTCTCAAGTCACAGATCACCCAATCACTCTGTGCTCGAGTTCTGTGTCTGTGGTTTAGTGCAACTCATCCTCTTTGGGTCGTCAGAGAGAGCCTCGAGAAAATACAAGTGACGTCACACCGCGAAAAATGGTCGTTTGGAACTCTCTCAATTTGTCATGTATGAGACCGTTCGGCATATGAAAAGGGCTATTTTCAGTCATATTAAAATTTCCCATTGTTGGGAGGGATTCTGCCGCCTAGTGTGTGATGAGAACTCGACCTCACTGCCTCATGATCGACGGCTGTCACGTTAGATCAATTGGCAGAGCGTTGGGCATGTATCCCAGAGGTTGTAAGTTTGACTCTCACGCGGGGCATTGGATTTTCCGTTGTCACTCGGAATTCGGGATTTCCAACATCTATTTATTCATTTTCATAAACAGGAATACAAACAGGACGAACCCATAGAAAATATTCACATATAGGTATCCTAAGGATGTCATGTTGTTAGGTATTCAATTCCATTATACAGTGCAAAGATTTGATATATTTTATGTGAAAAAGCAAATTTTTTAACATATCATCAATTGGATGCTGGAACAAAATGTTTCTTGAGTTGGTTCACAAAGATTGTTTAAGAGTCGGACAAAATATCAATCTCTATTATGTTTGAAATGGAGTCATAACTTTTCAGGCATCGATGTGAAGGGGAGTTAAGATAGTAATTTGTTTTTGGTATGGATGTATACAACAAGTTATTATAACGAGTGGAATATTGTGGAACATAGTAATGGATCAAGTTATTTATAGATAAGGGATGAATGATTCCATTTATCATTTTATAAGGGAATTTGATATCGGCGATAGCTATTCTGTCAGCAAGACTAATCAAATTAAGTTTTCGTTTTCTCAGAAATGTAAAAAATATGTTTATTGAAAGTCATTTTTGAATCGAAAATAATTTCCAAATCCTTCACTTCACTACAGATGAGGTGATAATGATCCTGCATGGTGGTATAGTTATGAGTAATTGAATGAGTAATTGAATTAGAGTTTCTACTAAAAGTCATCTAATGGTATTTGTTGAGATTCAGGAAGAGGGAGTTATTTCTACATTACTCTAAGAATTTATTTATTTATTTATTTATTGAACAAATAACTTCCAGACAGAATAGGCTCTGGTATAAGGAAGTACATAATTATATACCTATAGGTAAACATAGCATCATTCAAAATATATCAACAACTGTAAATTGGCAAACAAAGAATAATATTTGTAAAAAAAAAATGGCATGATTAATTATATCCAGTCCGCTCAGAAATAATCAGTTTTTTTACTTCATTTTTGAATATACCTATATTTCTGCAATTTTTTATATTATCAGGTAGTTTATTGAATTCAGTTAAGGCTGAATGAGTGAATCTTTTTTGTCCGATTAGGGAGCTAGCAGCGTCAAGATGAAACAAGTTATATTGTCTAGTTTCATGATTATGAATTCCAGAATTCCGTATCAAAATAATATTCGACTTAAATTTTTTATTTATTATATTAGGTATATGATATTTTAAGAGTTTTAATTCTATATATTTCATCTAAAGAATACGTATTTGTTATTTCATACAATTGATTGGTTGGTGTATCAAATGGGAGACGATACAATACTTTTAACGATTTTCTATATAATGTTGATATTTTATTGAAATTATTTTTTGAACAAGATCCCCAAACATTTATTAAATAGTTAATACGACTCAGTATATGAGAGTAGAGAATCATGTTTGCAATTTTAATATCAAGTTTGGGACATCTCCTCAATGCACCAATAATTGGAGATATTTTTTTTGTCAGAACATCAATATGTTTGTCCCACTTCAACCTGTCATCAAACCAAATACCAAGATATTTTATCTGGTCAGTTTGTTTTAAGAGTTCATTTTTTATTTCAAGGTTGAGGTAAATTTTTTGTTTATTTTTTTGGTGAAAAATCATAATATTCTGTTTTGTTAGTATTTATCGATAAAAGGTTAGATTGGAGCTATTTTTCAAATATTCTCAAGTCTTCATTTATCATATTTTCTAAATCTGAAGGATTCTTGCCTTCATATAAAAGTACTGTATCATCTGCATACATGGTATATTCACACGCTAGACCAAATTCACTGATATTTTGAACATAAAGTAAATATAGTATAGGTCCTAAAACAGAGCCTTGTGGGACACCCTTATTGATTAATAGTTTATTTGACACAGAGTTGTTTGATTTTGTATTGATTGTCCTATTTTCAAGATATGAATTCAAAATATTTCTCACAGTGCCTCTGAGTCCCATTGTTTCTAAGTTTTCTAAAAGTGTTTTATGATCAACTGTGTCAAAAGCCTTTTTGAGATCAATGAAAACAGCTACCACATAATTTCCTGAATCAAGTCCTCTCTGGATTGATTCTATCACTTGTAGTACTGCTGCTTGTGTTCCACTGTTTTCTTGAAAACCAAATTGATTAGAATCAAAGCTATATTTTTTGTTGATGAATTCTACAATTCGTTTCTTGAGAATTTTTTCAAAAATTTTAGAAAATATGCCTATTAAAGCTATTGGTCTATAGTTAGTTGGATCCTGAGCATTTCCATTTTTGTAAATAGCTCTTACTGATGCATGTTTTAATTCGTGTGGGAAACTTTCTTTCATGAAAGATTCATTGATCAATTTTGATATTGGTGTAGCTGAAATGTGTCTCAATTCAAATATGTCTTTAGTAATCAAACCTTCTGGATCAGGGCATGTCTTTTTTAAATCATGAATAATAGAAATGATTTCGCTTTCATCAAAGGGAAACAGAAGCATTGTGGAATCATTATATTGTGGACAGACATTTTGACGTGGAAGATTATTATAATACGATATTATTTCCTTTGCTATATTCTCACCAATACTCGAAAAATGATAATTCATAATTTTGGCTATTTCTAGATCATCAATGACAATGTTACCATTAATTTTTATCGATTCAATATCACTATATCTATATCGATCAAGGTCCTCTTGAATGAGCATGAAATTCAAGTGTGAAACTGTAAGAAATATTTTAAGATCATCAGCATACATAAGGAAATACGAGAATTTGAAACATTCAGATATGTCATTTATATAACAAACTATTGTTTTCAATAGTGTGAGCCTTGAATAGTACACTCGACGTTATATTGATTGATCTTGAAAGATAATTACCAATGAAAACTGCCTGTTTACGATTACTTACGTTAGATTGAAACCAGTTCAGTAGGGAGCCGGTCACACCAACATCAGCCAGCTTTTCTACCAGCAATGTATGATCGATCTTATCAAAAGCTTTGCTGAAGTCATTATTATATAAAATAATTTTGGCTGTACTTGTCAGAATGAATCACTCATTCATAACAACATTTATAACAAAATACCACTGTGTACTGAATATCTTCTCATAATTCTGTCATTCATTCAAAACATCGTGATATTACTTATGATGAATTGATATAAATTAGGTTATCCAAACACAGTGCATCGGTTTTCTCATGAACGAGAAGTAATGCTGGTTCATATCCACATACAATTTACTCACCGTAGTTTTATCGGAATTATGGAACAGCCTGTCTTGTAGCAAAAAAGATGCCCCGTGACTGATCAGGGCGTCGCGTTCCATCTCCCCGAATCTAACGCCACCACCTCGTTTCCTTCCTTGTAATGGCTGCCTCGTCAATATGTTTATGGGACCGGTCGACCTCACCTGTGTCAAAAAATCACGTAATAGTATATTCTTCAACGAGCGTATAATGTTAGCTATTATACTCGAGGATGATTCCTAAACAAGCCGTAGGCTATAAGAGATTCGATGCTGTTTCAATTTGTGTAGGATGTGTTTTCTCGAGTAATACGTAGATTATAAATTATCTACGAAAAACCGATCAAGAACGTTATTTTTTGCAAAGTACGCAACTTTGGTCAATTTTCAACTTGCTCTAGCTCCTCAATGGGGAAGACCACTGATTTTTTAAAACGACATTATCGTGAACTCTATACTGAAAAACTACCAGTGAATTAATTTTGAATTTTTTCATTCATGCTGAAACGATGAAAAAAATAAATTAGTATATGTCCATTTCAAAACACACAGTTCCTGCGCCAAATGAAATTTCATCAATTTATTGGTGTGACTGGTGCGACGTCTTAGTCCCAACACGCCTATTGTCCTTGAACTGACCAATTACACTGCAACACTGCAGAATGACGAGGTATCAGAGAGAGATAGCTACAGTTCGGGCGTTGATTGAGGTATGTTCGGGACTAATACGTCACGACTCCACCATCATATTTGGCTGTTTGAAATATCGAATGAAATATGCTGATTTCAAAACGATATAGATTCGATTCCCTTCAACTTCAACTCATAATATTGATTGTACATAAAATGTGAATCATGATTCGTCGATTGAAAGAGGTTTGCACGGATGTCTTCCCTCAGTGGCCTTCCCCATTGCTAGTACTACATTTACGAGCTAGAACAATGTATGTTATGTACTAGTCCGCCAATAGCTGACTCGCCTAGAACAGGTCTTGCTACCTTGCTGAGGTGGAAAACGACCGTTGAACAAATCCTACGTTTCACCAGATGACCGACCCTGGAGGTGAAACATTGAAACACAACCTCACTTTTCTTATTTGTTTACAAATGATTGAAATAGTTTTTCACACTTATTTTGGCATACGAATCGTGTTTTCGGCTGTTCAAGTATTCATTAATTCGCGCATGTCATCACATTGTGCTGTTATACAATGCACAAAAAATGCAGCGAGAGACGAAGGAATCCAGTTGATACATTATGATTCAAAAGTAAGTACCTACTATCGTCACTCACATATAGTTTTCATTTTGAAATTTGGTGATTTCTCATCGGGGTTCCTTCTGCAATAGGAGCTAATAGAAAATACTCGTGAGATTGCTAAAAGAATGCAATAGGATTGGATTCATGCAATCAAACGGGAGGACTGCTGGTCACATGCTGACGAAATATGATCGTGTGTGTTGTAGACATTTTCAATCTATTAGCAGTATTAGTTTCTATTGCAGAAGTGGCAGAAGGAAGTTTAAAAAGAAATGAAAAAATTTCACAATGAAAACTATTTATCAGAACATTTTTTTGTTACAGCGCTGTTTTGTACGCACAGTTTTGTTACAGCGCTGTTTTGTACGTGCTGTTTTAAAACGCGCTGTTTTGTGGCAGAGCCTATATCATAGTGTGACCACAGCCTTGTTAATAAAAACGCATAGTCAAAGTAGTGTACTAGTCGACCAGTTCTCGAGAGAAACATGTTTTTCAAATGAACTTCGATCATGAAAAGGAAATAGGTGAGTTAGGAAATAGGTGAGTTAGGCAATGAAAGCCTCATATGTCGTGTTTTATTTATCATTTCAACTAACCAGTGAATCGAACGTAAAGGTGTTTGCTTCCGCATTAAGGAAACAAAGCTGGCCTTCGGCATGCTTTCTCGGCGTTGATGATTATATGATTCGTGCAATCAGTGTAATCAGAGTCTTCATGACATTATAAACAAATAAATTTTTTTTTTTGAAGTCCAATTATCTCGTCATACACTACCTTATGCTCCAAACATATTGAAAAAAATGGAACAAAATTCAAACTGATAATGACAGAAGTGACAAATCGATTCTCGTTTAGTTTCAGCAGGTTCAGCACAACCAATTAGGGATGAAATTTCAGGTGATTTGGAAATATTATCATCATGGTTATCATGTTATAAATTGAGTATGAATTATAGTAAATCAGCATTTATGTTCATCTCAAAAGAATCAAGATATAATGAGTTCAAATTTCCAAGTGCATATAATAACGGAGTTATTAAATATTCAAATAATATCAAGTTTCTTGGGCTGTACATAGGTCATGGTCAAAACATATTGAAATACTACAAAAAAGTCTCTAATAATAGGTATACTTTGTAGAGTACAGAATCAAGTTCTTATAAAATGTCTCAAATCTATAATACTTCTCCTTGACCTATTCTGGAGTTGAACATTTGATTTCTGTATGGGGATCAACAAAACTATCAATTATGAAGCCTCTCAAAACTCTTCAAAATAAAATTATCGAATGTATATACATACTAAATTATTTGGAACTCACTAAGAGCCTTTACAGAAGAAGAGAGTTATCAGATATAGATTCACTATATAAATTCAAATTATTATGATTCATTCATTCAGTTAAATATTGTCAAAAGCATTCAAATTCGGTTCTCCGAATTAATAGTAGTCACCACAACCATACAACTAGATGAGCAGATCATTTTTCTATCAAGAAAATTAAATCAGATATCGGTAAAAAATCCATCTATCTCAATGGAATGATACAATACAATTCACTACCAAATAACTCAAAGCTGGCTGATTAATAAGATTGAAAAATTTGAAAAGGAATTCAAGAAACATCCACTGCTGTAATATTGACATCTTATCTCATTTTTATAGTTTTCTCGTACAATTACTATAATTTTCTATTGGGTACCTAACAGATGAGTCAATTAAGAATCATTTTCAGTTGAACTAAAAAAAAAAGATTTCTTTTTGAGTGTGAGTTTTGCTCCTGCTATAAACAAAAATTGTTTTTTGGTAATAATAAAGTTGATTGATTGCTATACTAAACCTTCATTACGCATATTGATTTGGATCGAGAGAATGGAACTATCAAGTGATACTCATTCTTCGCATTCTTATACATATCACCCATTATAACTGAGAAAAAAATCATACCTGCCATTTATCGGATACCATGTGTCTCAACCTTTGGTAATGCACGACCCCGAAGAAAATTTGAGCATTCATCTCTCTTCCATCGATACCGGAATACATCGTCTCGGTTCCATAGTAATTGTAGCCCCCTTCCTCCAATAACCTTCCGAAGTAGTCGATGGCCGTATCTTCTTCAGTGAACCTGCTCTTCAAAAAGAATCTCTCAAATTATAGTCGTCTTGTGAATTATTATAAAAAATGGCAGCGCCATTCTATACGATGGTTAAATGGTTTGAGTAATTAACAGTCGCGTTTAAAAAAAATCGAATTGATTTTTAATTTTCTGCAACCTGGAGTTCAGCCCTTAAAAAACCTAGGATTTTCAATAACAAAAATTAAACAAAAAGGTATTGAGAATAGCAATAGAATAACAAACATTTGTTTTTTATTTTAGTCATATTTGTCGAGAATCTTGAAAATTTGGGCACAAACAAGATTTTGATTTCGATAAATTTTTTGTGTCGGATATATTGCTGAAAAGCTACTCGAATGAAAATGTATGCCATGAAAGGCCAGCAGCGTAGCCTCGTTGTTAAAGCGTCAATGTTCTATCCACGTTGGATTGACGATAGGTGGGTTCGATTCCCACCACGACCGCAGAGATTTTTCTCATAGCCTAAGAAAGTGTTTGGGATCACACGTTACAAGGTAAGGCCCCCGTTATTTCTTGCACGCACAAGTCTCTTGAAGACTTCTGAGGGTTGCTCGTAAGGGGGCAACCGAATGATGGATAATAACAAATTTTAGAAAAACTTTTTTTCAAACGAAAAATCTTATTCTACTAGAGAGCATAAGGAAATCAAAGTATTTGGCATCAAAACTGCGATTAACGAATAAAGGGCGATACAAATTCCTCAGGTTTTTAAGTAGTCCTGAAATGCTTTCCTTTTTCTCTAGAACTATACAAGTATACAATGAGGGCAAACATATAATGACCACCAGATCCCGCAACTGAGACGTGAGGTCAAAGTTGGTAAAATTTTAGTAAAAAGATAACTGGTTCTTTACGTAGAACGGATAGATATAATTCTTCATTTCGTTTCATTTGGCCACTTCCTACGATATCTTCTTCTTTGATAATGTAAAAATTGCGCTTGAGGCTCCACATCAAGAATGAAAATCCAAGACTGATCAAGTCTAACCATAGTTTTTAGGGCTATCCAACAAAATGTTGAGACTTCTTGACTTTGAAATATACCTCAAGCCAACTAGTGAGACTGAAAATGTGTGATATGGGTGAAATATTATCTGGTTTATTTAATAATTCAAACAACATTTTACTAGATCCATCTAGAGTATAGGGAAATTGAAAAAATGACAATGAAACCAAGTTAATTCTATTTCCAAATAGTTTTGGAAACAAAATTGACGGACAAAATTTAGGCATTTGGGAGGTTATAAAAGTAAAAGCCTTAATTGGTTAACACCAAAGGTTTCAATGGGCAAGCTAAAACTCACCTGAATGGCGTCGCATCATGGACACGACCATGTAGAGCAGCCGATTTTCCCGCCATAATTTCGATCATCATGGCGATGGTCATGCGCGAAGGGAACCCGTGAGGATTGAACACGATATCGGGCACCAAACCTAAAATTTCATGTTCCATTTAGGATTAGTTGATGTCTATATAGGGCGCAAAACTTGCCTGTTTCTGTGAAGGGCAAATCTTCCGTGGGCCATTTTTGAGAGCAGATGCCCTTTTGACCTGCTCGACTAGCGAATTTGTCACCTACGCTCGGATTACGCTGAAACAACAGTTATCAAACTTTATCCATCATCTTTCAATGACGAAGCAAAATATTGTATCATAATACGAGCAAAAAGTGTCAAAAATCAAAGCAACATTTTTGATTTTTGACACTTTTTGCCTTTTTCCCATCCATTGTCCGATTGTCAGAGCACAGCAATGTGTTAAACTATTTACTTCAGAAACAAAACCCAAATTACTTACTTAATCATGAAGATATTGATATTTTGACAAAGGTGACCCGCATTCAATTGCGGACTGCGGACCCTTCATTTTTATCATCACAATTTTTTTAATATGTAAATTACATTCTTGATTTTTCATCTTGTGAAATATTTTCCCCAGAACAGGTGAGGATTGTTTGACTTTCATTATCTTAGGGTCCCTTGATGGAAATTGACGTTAGTCATCTTAACAGGGTACGGACCAGTACGGACAGATCATAGCTGCATTCTTTTTTAATGATCTAGAGACTTTAGTTTTCTCTACTGGCATCTCTGACATTGCTGTCACGTCACATCCAGAAAATCATGAAAAATTTTGATAATAGGTATGTACAGGGTATTTATTTGTAGAGGAAGATCAAAAGGCGAACGAGTTTTGTAATTATGATCCGATTCTTTTCAAAATTGGAATATATCTGGGGATTTCCGGGGTCGGAGATTATAATTATTTCGTCAAAATTGGGATATTCAAGATGGCGGATCCAATATAGCGAACGAGCTTTGTAATAAATAGTTGTTTGAAAAATCAATTAAACACGCTTTTATGAATAGCCGAACTAAAAAGAAGTAGAAAATTAAATAAATAAAGTGTGCTGGTAAATATGTAACTAAAAGAATATTTTCTAGAAATATTGTGCATAGCAAAACAACGTTTGTCAAGTCCAGCTAGTAATCTAGTAATGATATTTATTATTAGTTCACAATACAATTCGTATATTGGTGAAAAAAGAAAATATTGACAGTGTCAAATGATTTCTGAATGGTAATGATTATAAAATTCAAGAAAATAAAAAGATTTTACGATTGAATAAGTTTTATACATAGTGTGATATTAGTCACTCCATAAATTCTTCCCCGTATTGGATTTCCGAAAATATATTTAGCATACATGACATGAGTACAGTAGTTTAGATACCCACATCGAGGTTTTCACCATTTCTCAATCATAAGGCTCAGCTCATTCAGCTCATAGATAAACTACTGCTCAGCTTGAAATCAGAATTCATTCAGTCAATTCAGTCAACCCTGGTATACAGTCTAAGAACAGTCTCTTTTGGTGAAATATAATAAGCTTTCAGTACAATTTATATGTTCCCTAGCTCGCAAAGATTATACTGAAGTAGTAAACTCTAAAACTCTTGGTATAGTTGAATCAGGAATTCCATATGAAAATTACGTATGTTACGCCAATGACCTCAATATAACCTAGAAAACAACAAATGTCAAAAACCTAGTGTTTATCCCCAGAATTGAATAAGGATGGAACTATATAACTGTTTCACAAACACTTTAGAGTGAGTGGAGACGAGGATCTGTCCGTACCCTGTTAAGATGACTTTAACGTCAATTTCCATCAAGGGACCCTACATTATCTGAATGTTTGTCTGACGTAGCTTTTTGTCTTTCTTATTGTAGTACTTTCTGTAACAAATATTTTCTGCTGATGATGAAGCTTTGAAGCTTCGTAACACGTCCTAATTCCATTGTTAAATGAAGTCTAGTTTTGGTGGAGTTGACTGTAAGATTTTTTTCTGCCCAATCAATAACTTATTCCTCATATCTTATACAACACTTACAGGTATCCTGTATGTCAGACACGCCACTTGCGGTGGATCCTTCACCCCCATGTTGCCGCAAAGTTTCACGCTGTGCAAAAAGCACTCCTCCTTGCCCCTGAAAGTCTTGGTAACGTAAGTCGCCTTATCCGTATCGAAGTAGCAATAGTGCGGTTCCCCGTCGACCATCCTCCTACCGAGGTACGGCAAGCCGTCCTCGTCCAGGAATTCGGCCAGGTTTTTGCCCTCCTTGTCCCTGGAGAAGTACGAGGCGGAGTGTTCGAGTTGCACGAACTCCGATTTGTAGATGGAACCGTGAGCCAAACCGCGTTCTTCAGAGGCTTTGTTGATTATCATCGCGTCTTCCATGTCATAGCCCTAAATGAAAGCACGGATTATAGTGATACCTTTAGAATACAGAAATCTTTCGAAACTAAATCATCGTAGTATCAATTTTCTCGGAGGATCCTAGATTCTAGAGTTTTCTTCAGCATTCCGGAAAATTCAAGAACAATTCAGAATCTTCTATAAAACTCTAGAACTCTCAAGAAAAATCTGGCTGGTATCCACTACTTCGGTACCGATAAAATTCTAAGAATGTTCTAGAACCCTCCAGGATATTCGAGAATGTTCAAAATTGTTTCAGAATGTTCGAGAATGCCCTATTCGCGATAGAAAATAAGCGTACGCCACCTATCGGAGTTCTTGGAAGCTGTTGAAGCGGCATGTTTACTTCATTATCATTGGTTCACATTTGTTTTTAGTTTGTGCTTATTGGCCATATCATCAAAACGAAGTGTTCAAGTTGTTGTCGTCAGGTGGGGCGACGTGTTATTTTCTATCGCGAATAATATTCTAGAATTTCATTCCAGGATGTTCAAGAATGGAGGTTTCTCCCTTCTTGTCCATAGAAAAATCATAATATTCCATTTTCTCGCATATCTGTCGTGGAAAAGATTAAAATTTCACTAATCTTTAGGTATTCCGTGAACGAATCTGCCCCCGTTGTCAAAATAATAATTCTTGAGATTAATTTCTTGAAGGGTGTGAGTTACCAGGTTTTTTTGTAACGTCAACAATATGGAATATTTCGATTCGTCACATTATTGCATGCGCTGCATTTATCAAATTGGAGTGCAAAGCGAGTCTTTTTAATTTTCAGCAAGCAGAAAAACGAAAGAAATAGCAACACTAAAGACAAACTTTCGAATGTGTGTTTTTGAATATTCACTTTTGTATGAAATATTATGCTTCAACTGAGTACCCACTTACACCGGGTGTCCCAGATCTTTTCATACGGCCAATATCTGGGTAATGCTGCTTGTGTTTTTTTTAAATTACACTTTTGTCCAACTCATACGACTTTGAAGCCGATGTGTCAAAGTCAACTTCTGTCAAACTACTCTTGAAAAGCCACATCCAACTTCAGTTTTTCAAGTTACACCCTATACATTTTTTTGTTGATTTGTTAAGTGCAATCAATTCTAACTTCAATGATGTATCACACTTGATATTTTGACAAACGTAATACTTCCAAAATTACAAAATTCTAGGGAAACAGTGTCAGGTCAGGTGTAAATCATTTCTTTTGTTACCTACCTATGATTTGTTTGACAAATGTTCGTGCACGCGTTTTTCAGTCAGTTTGTGGGTACATCCAACTATACAAGACAATACCTTTTACGTTTACTCCAAATCAGTATTCTGTCAATTGGATATATATGTCGAATTATCAAGTGCGATACATCGTTGAGGTTAGAATTCATTGCACTTCACATCAACAAGGAAATTGAAATTGGGGGTGGGTTTCCAGGGATTGTTTGAGTGACATCTAAAAAAATGATGGAATATTGATGAATGAACACTGTAATAACTCAAAAGTTTTTCTTGAACAATTCGAAAAAACATAATAGCTAGAGGAATTCCGCAAGTAAGCTTATGACCCTTTGGAATTTACATTGAACTGACAGGAAAGTTACTTTTCGCGGTGAATGAGGTACACCCGAGGGAAATACACCACCTTCATGAATCATCACACTTTTGTTCTCAAAATGCGATACAAGCATCTCACTCCGACTCACAGTGTAACTGATGACGGCCACGATGGCATTCGTCCCCATCGCGAAATCGTCCAACCCGATTCTGTCGTGGTGCACAGGCCGGAAGAGTGGCGCGCCAGGCGTCTGCAGCCGGTACAGTTTCGTCTCGGACTGTAGATCCCACGTATGACAAGGCGTGCCCATCGTCTGCTTGCCCATCTGGCACTGGTACATGTTGCGCGGCGATTGGTTGCAATCTGGCATCGGGATGAGTTGCGCGAGGTTGGAGAGAAACGCCGTTTTCGACAGTTCCATGTGGGTCGTCACCCCTAAGAATGTAATAAAATAAATAGTCGCCCTCTCATACTAAATGAATATAGCTCATTTAGAAATCATTGAAACTTATACGCAAACAATTCTAAACGCCAAACACGGATGAATGAATGAAATCGCGAATGGTGGGGATACTTCTACGCCTGGGCGTCTGCAGCCGGTACAGTTTCATCTCGGACTGCAGGTTCCACGTGTGACAAGGCGTGCCAATCGTCTGCTTGCCCATCTGACACTGGTACATGTTGCGCGGCGATTGGTTGCAATCTGGTATCGCGATAAATTGTGCGAGGTTGGAGAAAAAGGCCGTTTTCGAAAGTTCGTTACGCCTGAGAGAGATAATAGCTATTTATATATCAAGAGAGCGAAGGTATCCATTTCCTTCCGCATGTGGTAAACACACATGTAAGGAAATGAACCATCGCTTTCTTAAAATGTATATACACAGTGTCATCCATAAGGACCGTACCGTGTGGGGAAAAAGTTTGTTATTAGAGTATCGAGACAAAAGAACCCGATGTTATAACTAGGTAAACTAGGTGAAGTGAAAGAAATAGGAATTCAAAAATGGTTACTATTGACATCACTATGACGTAACTGCCCCCCACAACCTTCACCAAAATACTATAACTGGGTTTAACGGGTAATGTGAATGAAATATCCCTTTTGTTTCGTTTGTGAACTTTTTGTCTATTGTATTTTCAACGCATTGTTGACCGTTATCGTGCAAAAAATCATTATTTGTGCTTTGCTAGATTAAATCAATATTTTTAATAAAAGGAAAGAATCTATATTATCACACGTTGATTTTCTTATAAAAAGTGTTGAACAATAAAAAAATCTTAGAACTTTAACGCTCTGTAAATCGGTAAAGAAGCGTTTGCAGACACATACTTATAGAAAAAAATCTTATTTTGACTTGGAAAATAAGTCTGGAATCTTGATACTGAGTTTTGAAACACCCTGTATAGGCGCGCCCCTGAATCATTGACAGAATAACATCCATTCTGTGGATTATAAGCTCAAGTCAATTGTCAATTTATATACCGAGCCCTTATTTTTCTCTTATTTGAACCTATTCTCTTTGTATCTGTGAGAAAATCAAGGAGACGAATTGATAGATTTCTATTTTATGAAATTTGGATTGATTGCATTTTATGAATTGTTTTAATCATATTTCCCCTTGATATTGATATATGCCACAAAACCCTCTGGCCTCATTGGACGATGTTTGGTTTCCCAATGTTCCTATAACTCAACAAATCTTTAATTTTTAAATCCAAGCCGAACGGTACAGTAGTCACTGCTAGATATGCGATACACTGTTGTCTAGTTTCATCAGGAACCTCAGGCGCACGAATTCAATACTACCCGAATAGAACAATCTAGAGACAGGACGCAAAAGAGACATGACGCAACAAATAATCCATGCGAAAGCAATACAGAAAATTTCCGATACTGAAAGAATAAACATCATTGAAATAATGAATCACTATCGGTCCCAACAGTAATAAATGCCTCCATTTTTTCAATTAATCACTCAATAATAATAAAAGAAATAGGTTTACGTCACTCAATTTGCGAACTCATGTAAAAGATAGATTCATACAGGGAGAAAAAAATCTCAACCCATACCCACCACAGTAAATTATTTGTTGCATTGCAATCATTGCATCCTATATCGCCACTGAACTATTGTGCTTCATTTCGGTTCGGGTACTAATGAATTCGAGATTGAAAATTTTTTCTACCAAATGTTTAAATATACATGAATTCTGAGGAGTGAATTTGTAAGGAATCAATTTTTGGAATTACTTTTAAATTCATACTATTTACTATTTTTTAGGAGCCTGGCAACACTGCAAAACAATCGTGGAAAAAAAATATGGGAAAAAACAGTACCCAGAGTTATTTTAAAAAATGTGAATAATACCAATGACTAAGAAGATTAGGAATCCACAATTCGTTTCTCGTAAATACGAAATTAATTGAATATGCATTACGTAACTGCCAGATCATCAACTGAGATAGATCGATAAAAATGTGAGGTTATGTTGATAAAATCGGTTTTCAAAGCGATCGCTCCAGCCGTGAAGATGCAACCGAAAGTGGTGTTCGTTTTGGGGGGACCAGGAGCAGGAAAAGGCACCCAATGCCAAAGAATCGTTGAGACCTTCGGCTACGTCCATTTATCGGCAGGAGACTTGCTCAGAGAAGAAAGGAGCCAGCCGAACTCCCAATTTGGGGAGCTGATCGACAACTACATCAAGGAAGGTAAAATAGTGCCCGTAGAAATAACCTGCAGCCTTCTGGACAATGCCATGAAGGCGTCTGGCAAAGATAAGTTTCTCATCGACGGTTTCCCGAGGAACCAGAACAATTTAGAAGGGTGGAACAGCACAGTAGCAAAAAGGGTTCAACTACAATTTATCTTGTTTTTTGACTGTCCTCTGGAAATATGCTTGGAACGGTGCTTGCAAAGAGGTGCAGGCGGCAGTGGTAGATCTGATGACAATCCAGATAGTCTAAAGAAACGATTCAATACCTACTTGAATGAAACTAGGCCAATTATAGAGTACTATGAAAAATCAGACTTGGTGAAGAGGATTGATGCAACCAGACCTGTAGAGGAGGTGTTTGAAGATGTGAAGAGTATATTTCAAGGCTTGAATTGTATTGGTGGTGGTGATCAATAAAATCATCTATAGGGACATTTCGTGATGTTGGACATTCTGAATTTAGAATGCTAGTGTTTGCTAGGTACTGTAACTAGTTGCATTTCATTAAATTAATTAGGTAATTAGTAGGTTTAGGTATATAGCAGAGAATAAGTGTATTAGTTTGAACATCATTTTTACCTGTGTTCATTCATTTGTATTTTATTTATATTATCTAATGGTAATGATATTCAAAATAAGAAAACATATATAGTATATTGTATATTATGTGAAAATCCCAGTGGAAATATAAATTTCAAAAAATTGATGTCAGATTTATTTAAATTCTACATTGCAGGCTGTAAATTGATTGCAGTGGTATTGATTGGTACACCTATTTTTGAAATAATATGACTCAAGATCTAAGTAATAATAAGAATAATATATAGAAAACCTTGAGGACTATAGAGATTTTATCATTTTCAATTTGAAATGTTAATTAATCATCAATTTCTTTCCTTATTATAACAGAAAAAAAATTAAATCTGGTAACTTTGATATCCAAGTTTAATCCATAGTGGTTTAATCTAATCAATATTCTGTCAATCAAGGGTTAGGAATGTCATCAAATAAATAGAGAATAATTCAATAAAGAAAAAACTATAAGACACACAAAGTCGGTCGACCACAAACTTATTTAATAAAAGGGGGGGTTACTACTTTCAACCACAGGCCATCATCAGACACAAAAAATGGGATGAAGTAATGTAGTATACCTAAAAGAGATTATAGACTTGAGGGGAAAAATTCATGCCCCCCCCTCCCTGGTTTGAGACTGCAACAATTTTATTCCAGAGGAGTAATATACAGGGTGTATCTAAATAACACCAAACAAATATGAGGGGCAATTCCTTGTGATATTTTATGAAATAAAGTTCATATAAACATGTGTCCTAACCTGCTTCGTTTTCCAGATACAAAAGGTATTTTTATATTTCCATGAGAGACCCCTTGAATTTTTTCGGTGTCATTCAGATACACCCTGTATAGAACTAATTTTCATAGTGAACAAAAAATACTTGATACTTTTTTTTCAAACATCGGAAATGCTTGCGTTGAATTATTCGAACAGGAACCTTGGAGAGAAGAGCAAATAAAGAATTATATAAAGAAATAAAGGGTGAGTAGCAATAACGAGAATTGTCGCCCAATCCACTGGACATAATATCTAGATTCCTTGATTATAGATCAACTTTACATTGTCTGTAGATGTTATGGAAAGGTGGTCCAAGATTCAAGAATTCTGATCACCCTGCATCTGTCCCAATCAAATGTCAAGTAGATAGTGAATCAAGAGTTAAGATAAGAACATATGAGCCATTTTGACCAATAATGGAAAATTTCAATAAAAAAATTCTTGTTGAAGAATCTCGATTTTGAACACCTTATATCTCTGTAATACTTCCCGCTAGACCGCAAGTGTGATACATCGATGAAATCATCTCTTTAGGGAGAACATAAAAATGCAATAATATACACGGTGTCCAATTAAAAAAACCATCAGCCGGTAACTTATTGGAATTCGAACACCCTATAGATATGAAAATAATTTAAGTTGATAGTTCTCATGAAACCCTAGAACGGTTGTATTCGAATTTGTTTGTATATATCCGTCGGTTTGGCCAATATCGAAGGAGAACACACTATGGACTCACCCTGTATAAATAAGTATACTTTTTTTGATACATAGAATGCATCAAAATCTGAATCTGCCCATAATGGTTAAAAAACCTCACCTAAGATTTGTGCGCACGCATTTGACCTTGAACAAAAAAAAATCGCCTGCGGTGCCTTGTTTCACTACCTGACCTAGAGCCTCCTTCCAAAATACAATTTCACACAATTCATATTGGCCCTCCTTGACGAACACTGAAAATATTGTCTGTAATCTCTTTTAGGTACTACTATACAAGTATACATCCCATTTTTTGTGTCTGATATGGTGTCTTTTATTGTTGTTTTACAAATCAATTGGACCACTGCGCAATATGGATGATTTCTACTATCTGATAATTCAATATCAAAAAACATCTCAATTTTACAGGGTGTCCCAAAATTAGCCTGCCAAACTTCACCAGCGGCTTCTCCGACCAAAAAGAAGAAGAAAAGTTCCTATGAACATGAGTCAAGAAATGTCTCCTAAGGGAGTTACGGTCCCCTGAAAGGGGGCTCCTGAAGATGATATTTCTTGAAAATTTCCGAAACGCCACGTGATAAAATGATGCAATTCGGTACAAGAACTAAACTTACCATGCCCAATGCGGTGAACATAAAATAATTCCAAAGTTTCATTCAGGAGTGTATACTACAGGGTGGAACTACATTAAATATTGCTCAAACTTTTTCGTATGCATATTTTTTGACAATTCAATCTCGGATTATAAAAATGTGTCATCATCGAGTGAAATCGATTTAAAAATATTGATGCACTCACATCTTATGCATAACGTTGCCAATTTTCAACATAGTGGCTTTAAAAATGTCAGGTACTTTCTTTTTACCAAACATTTGCATTTTTTCCATTTTTACTACGCCTCATTGCAATGCATGATATCTGAGATGTAACAATATTTTTAAATTGCTTTTACTCGATAATAATACATCTGATCATCACGGAACAAGAGTACCTTTTTTCTGTAAATAGGTGTGAAATTTCATAATCCGAGATTGAATTATCGAAAAATATGCATACAAAAAATTTTGAGCAATATTCAATGTAGTCCCACCCTGTATTATACACTCCTGATTGAAATTTTGAAATAATTTCATTCTCACTACATTCGGCATGGACATTTTAGTTCTTGTACCAAATTGCATTTTTATATTACATGGAGTTTCGGAAATATTCAAGAAATATCATCTTCAGGAGCTCCCTTAAGAGACATTTCTCGACACATGTTCATTGATAGTTTTTTTTTATTTTTGTTAGTAAAAGCCGCTGGTGAAGTTTGGCAGGCTAATTTCGGGACACCCTGTATAATTAAAAAGATATTAATAGTCAAAATGTATTCTTTATAGGAATTATGGGACATAAAGGAAATAGGAAAATAAAAGAAATAAACTGATATATGTACACCTACTTACCATTTAAAAATTAACTCCATGTAAGATTTCAAATAGTACAGTCAGCTATAGTGCCGGACATTGCAAAATAGAACAGGAATGGAAAATTAGAACTTGTACAGTTGAAATCCAACATCGATCAAAATAAAAGGAATGATAATGATTTCAGTCTACCTACCTAAGACATGAAATTTATGAAGTTACACCTACATTTTTCTCAAGCATTCACACTGAAAAAAAAAGCATTTAGGAAAATCGAACTTCAACGCCTTGTATAAGGCGTTCATCGTTCCTTGTCACAATCAACTCCTTTGCGCGCTTGTGTGAAGTTTGTTTTTCTAAAAAACAGTTTCAATAAAATGTACTGATGGGTATTATTTTGTTATTGAACAGAGAATTCTAATCCCAAGAATTAAAAGTGATATCAGTCAACGACGCATCCATTGAAGGCGATGTGAAAAACATTTATTGTACCTACTAACGTAACATCAATAAAAAAGTATCAAATAGCTTGCGCTTATGATGAATGAGCCGAGATATTCGACTTACAATATAATCTAGGTAAATTCGTAAACTAATTAAATTAAATATCAGCAATATTTTTCGTGATCTTACTGTTGACGTCTGTGTGCCGATAAGCATGATAAGAAAACAAACAAATCAAGAATACCTATTACAATTAATAAATTTCATAAAACCATTACATAAAACGAGTATATTGGATCGATCATTCATGTTTCAGAATCGCTTTCAAACGCTGGTTTTAGAAAAACGCCTCCATTCTTTATACAATTTCAAAATATGATAGTTATTTATACACCAAGGCAGTAAAGAATATCATTACTACCCAGACACCAAAATTATATCCCGATGAGGCTTCATCCGAGGATGAAAAAAAAATCTCAAGTGAATTCAAGGATTTGCGACCAATTAGTGTGTTGCCGGCCTTGTCGAAAGTTTTAGAAAGTGCCATGGAGATACAAATAAAAGACCATCTATCAAATCGCTCTTTGTTACCTCCTGTTCTGTCTGGTTTTCGTAAGGGTTTCAGTTGCACGACAGCCTCACTCCACATAACCGATGACATATTCATGGCTATGGATAAGGGTCACTGTACAGTACTTGTACTGTTAGACTTTAGCAGAGCATTTGACACGATCCATTAGGACTTGTTATTGAATATGTTACAATATATGGGTTTTTCAAGGAATACTCGCCTACTCATGGAAAATTACCTCAAAAATAGGCAGCAAAAAGTATGCATAGACAATATTAACTCAGACTATCTAACATTGAGATCTGGGGTACCCCAAGGATCTATACTAGGACCGCTATTATTCTCGATTTATTCGTCACACCTTATTACCATAATTATCTCCTGTAATGTGCACCTATATGCAGATGATACGCAAATATATTATAGCATTCAACCAAATATGGTGGAAGATGCTTGTACGGTAATCAATAATGAGCTTAACGCTTTTGTTAAAGCGGCTTCGGATCAATGTTTGTTTATCAATCCTAGCAAATCCAAGGTCATGCCATTTGGCAATAGATACCATCGTGAAAATGTGATTAACTCGATTAATACACATATTAACAATGAACAACTTGCGGTGGAAAAGGAGGCAAGAAATCTGGGTGTCACAATGGATTCTGACTTGAGATTTGAAAAACATATAAATAAATTACTTCAAATGCTTACAGTAGTCTGAAAATTATTTATGGTAATCGGCATTTGTTATCATTGGGTATAAAGAGTTTTATGCGAAACACTAGTCCTTTCCCTATTCAACTACGCTGATGCACTCTATGGTCCCAATCTAACAACCCAATATAAGAAGAAAAAAATACAAAAAGTACAGAATTCATGCCTACGCTTGATTTTTGGAATTCGGCGGCGCGAAAGAATCTCGCACAAATTACGTGAAATTGGATGGTTAAATATGGACAATAGAAGAATTCACCATATTGTCACCTTGTATCATAAAATTATCACCAAAATGGTACCACGTAAACTGAAAAAAAACAACAGAATACCGCACTGATGTTCATAACTTGAACATAAGAAATAAGGGGCTTGAAACCATTCCGTTTTTCAGAACTGAATATTTCAGACGCTCATTCGGTTATCAAATATGGGTTTCATGCTACCCGATTTTGGAAAAAAATTATTAGATACTCAAAATTAGATTTGGATCATACTATATGAATTACCAGCTATGTACATACATTTCTTTAAGCTAGGTTATCTCAATTCCTGAGTATTTGACTTTTTCATCTCTTCAGTACTATATACACAGGTTTTTTGTGGGTTAAGTTGAAGAATATTCTTTGTTATGCTCTGATATAAGAGAAAATAAACTTCGCCCTTTGCGTCGAACATTTTTTTTTATTTCATACTATTTTTGTAATAGTAATAAAGACGATTTATTATTATTATTATACACGCCTGGCAAAAATAATTTTCCTATAGGGAAACCGTGTGCATTCTGTGCATGGGCATTTTAAAGCAGAGAACGGCGACGTTGCCATACTATTCGTATCGAGTTAACTCCTCCTTCGAGCGAGTCCATTGTTCGGCCCGACAGCAGGGATTATCGTTTGCCACACGTGCCATACTCGAGTAGGTGGGGCAACGACGCTTACCCATTACACGGTTTCTCTATAGGAATATTATTTTTGCCAAACGATTATAAGGTCCCATGGTAATAATATTCTTTATTTAGTACCAAGAAACGTGTACCTATATATTGAATTTATTCCACCACTAGCAATATACAGCGTGTCTCATTTCAAATATGGACTTATTGTCACTATGAAAGCACTTCCTCTCAATTCTATTCAAAATCTAATAGCCATGACCAACACAGCATATGACAAGTCATTATTGATGAATGCCTACTAGATTTGAGTGCAATACCTGCGATTCTCGCATCCGATATGAGAACAGTGGATTCCGGTTCATTATAACATAGGTGGCTATGTCTTTATGAATTCAATTACTAAACTAAACTAACTAATTAGTAAATAGTTCATAAAATGACGAAAGCTAGCTTGATAGAAAAAACATACTTTACGCCTTAAAAAGGAGTACTACTTACCAAGAACCTTGAATTAACCAATGATAGAAATGAAAAAGCAAAAGCATTGGACTGGGTCTTTAACAATGATTGACTGCGACGTGACCATTTTTGATGCGGCGTCTCTTTTCCACCCACGTTAAAGAGATACGAATGTATTCTTGGTTGCATAGTAATCTGTCACAGTTACGGCTCGTGCTCTCAGAACCTAGGTCGGCCAGGTAAGATGTTGCTCTAGTTCGCCAACTTATTTTTTTGTTTTTGATGAAATGATAATAAATGGCTTAACAGATCATACTACTTACCCCTCTTACGCTCGCCATGAGTATTTTTATTATTTCTGCTAAATCTGAATCCCGAATAAACTTTTACCACAATGACAAGCCACCCCACTCCTTTTCCTAGTCGGCCGGCCGTACCTCCTTGTATCGTCAGCATATTAACAACTCAACTCAGAAGCGCAGGAGGTAAATCAGTATTGATTTTAATATTGGATGAATGTTGAAGTAGGAATTACATAGAAATTGCAAATTAAAGATTTACCAGTAATTTTTACAGCAAACATGATCGAAAATCATCTAGTATTCATTTCATTTTCTTATTCCTATTCAATACATTTATTTATTTTATTAAAGGCACTCTTGTGGAATTTCGATTTGGAAATGACTTCGTTTACTAGTTCATTGAATTTTTTTTTAAGTAATACTCATGGCTTGAAATTTGACATTTCATAGGAGAAGAGATTTTGTGAAATAATAACACAATGAGAGTAATTGTGATATCAGATACGGAAATAACATTGATGGCTTAAGTATAAAGTACCTCATTGATTTATCGAACATAGTAAAACAAGAGCCATTTTAGATTATAGGACATTCTTGAAATCCTTGACACCGAATCATTCATTTTGAAAACACTGTACTCAAATCAGTCATTGAATGTCGAATCAAATAAGAACTGTACTTGTCATTATGACTACAATGAACCACCCAAACTGGAGTGAAATACCAAAACTCTTCAATAACCTCAAATTCACTAACGAAAGACGTTAAACGCAAAACAAACACTGAAAAACTGAAACTAATCCGGGTCTGTCTTGATTCTACGTCAGACAAAATGAAAGAGGTGCATTCGACTTCAGTTGCCAGATGAAGTGGTAAGAAATTAGAAGTCCATAATGATTCATGGATCTCTTGTTAGCCATTCAATTAATATCAGCATATCAGTGAGTAGATGAATCCTGTCGCAAAAATTTCATATATGATTTTTGTAAAGCTGTTGATCATCAGTAACAAGAAATTTTATAAGAAATATGAACTACATCCTGATGCATAAATATGAGAATTGCGTATAAAAATATATAACTAACAATGTTGCCGACAATGTGTGCATGATCATCACTGCCGTAAGCACACGACAAAACTCAAAGACCTAGAAGGCCAATATCGTTCTATTCATTAAACCACTGAACATTTTTCAGAATTGAGATATTTTACCTAATTCCCTGTTCAATTCAGAAAGAAGGACACGTGGAATTTCGAATTGGAGCTTCGTTTACGAGTTAATTGAATGAAAAAAACGAGACCTCGCTAAAATTGGATAGTTCAGTTGTTTTGAAAGGAACAGGAGTCAACTTCTCAATAGTGCCATCTCGAATCTCGAACCAAGACAATCCAAGCAACGTGGCAACTCTTGCTTAGCCTAAAATTTGATTCAATATCATTAATTCCAGAGATCTGTAACATCTTGCCAGATATTTTAGTTTTGGTAATATATTCATGACAACAGGCGTATGCTATGAATCATAGGAGCGGGAAATTAGCATTATTTTTCTCTTAAGTAATGCTCTTCTATTAGACAGAGCTGTCATGACTTGAAATTTGACATTTTAATAGGAGATGTGATTTTGTGAAATAATAACACAACGAATGTCATTGTGATATCAGAGATACGGAAATAGCATCGGTGGCATACAGTACCTTACTGATTTACCGAACAAAGTAAAAGAAACGCCATTGTGTGTTTTAGCTATAGAAAAAAATATAATAGCACAAATTTTGTTGACGATATAAATTTACCTGAAATGAGAGATTCCTGGAATGTGTTCTTCATATTGTCGCCAAATCATTCATTTTGAAAGCACTGTACACTGATCAGTCAATGAATGTGGAGTCAAATAAGTACTGTTCTTGTCACTATGACTACACCCATTGCTCAAACAAGAGTGAAATGGCAAAACTCTTCAATAATCTTAAATTCATTATCGAAAGACGTTGAACGCAAAGCAGAACACAGAAAAACTGAAACTAATCCGGCTCTGTCTTGAGTCTACGTCAGACAAAATGACAGAGGCACATTCTCACATAGTTGGCAGACGAACTTCAAAGAAATTTGAAGCTCATTATAATACATCGATCTCGTGTTAGCCATTCAATTAATATCAGTGAGTCTATGAATTTTGTCGTGAAAATTTCATAGTATCATTTTTGTAAAGCTGTTGATAATCAGTTACAAGAAGTTTGGTAGGAAATATGAACTACATCCTAATGCATAAATATGAGATTTGCATATGAAAATATACAGGGTGTCCCAGAACAACGTACATTAAATTCAACAGGGTGAACTAGAGTTCAAAATAGGTCGATTGGGAACAACTTACCTGAATGAATGGATTTTTTTTTCAGATTTTATTGAATATTTCAAAATCCTTGAGGTTATATGCTCTGAAATTTGGAAGGCAGTCAACTATAAGAAGTGTGCACAGATAACAGGTCTCATCAGTGCAATCGATATAAAGGGAGATACAAATTTAGCATTCTGATTGGAGAAAATCCATAAAACTTTTTTTGAGTACGCCACTGACCATATTTTAATATCTACTTGAATAACAAAATCAATTATCTATCTATATAACCTGCAAACGACTTTGATTGTTAGCAGGAGGTGCAAACTGAAATCGACCGATCTGAGCATTTTTTCGTATCTACGCTATTATCACCCAAAATCTCCCTGTCAAGTTGAAATGGGCCATCTTGTATGATGAAAAGGTTATTATATAATTAACATGAATACGTGACAAAAGAATCAACATGAAGGAGGAAGAAACCTGCATAACACAATAACTCTGATATCTTGGACTATGGATGATATGGAGGGATTCCGAAAGAATTTTTTCAGATATCTCGTGAACTAAGCAAAATTCAGAAAGAAATGTGGTGAGAAAAAAGATAGATAATTGATTTTGTTATTCAAGTAGGTATTAAAATATGGTCAGTGGCGTACTCAAAAAAAGTTCTATGGATTTTCTCTAATCAGAATGCTAAATTTGTTTCTCGCTGTACATCGATTGCACTGATGAGACCTGTTATCTATGCAAACTTCTTATAGTTGACTGCCTTCCGAATTTCAGAGCATTACCTCTCAAGGATTTTGAAATATTCAATAAAATCTAAAAAAAAAATTCCATTCATCGCCCTCTCACGGCCCAACGGTGCAACTCTAGTTCACCCTGTTGAATTTAATGTACGTTGTTCTGGGACACCCTGTAGCTGACAATATTGCCGACAATGTGCGCATGATCACCATTGCCGACACTGGTTGTATCAGATTTCATTGACTTCTCACACTTGCATTAGCCTTCTAGGTCTATGAGTTCTGTGGTTGTATCAGATTTCAGCGATTTCTCACACTTGCATTAACCCATTAGCCTTCTAGGTTTTTTCTGAGGCGTCCACTAACCTTTGTAGGCCTCCTCCGGCGACACACAAACGTCCAGGTAAACCTGTTCGAACGTGCCCACCAGTTCTATGCTGTTCGCCAACAAATTCATCAGCGGTCTCATCATCCTAGCCGGCCCGGAGAACAGGAAGAGGCCCGGATATTGGGAGACGGTCTTCTTCAGCGGCACCAACACTATTTCCAGCGTGTCCGGAATTACCTGTGAAACACCAACAACAAACCAATGTAGTAATTTCATGTATTTTCTATCTCCGCCATAATGGGGAAGTTTCCTTCAGATGAAATTTCATAAAATAAGTTCGGAACTCTCCAGTTTCATGTCCACGCTGTACTTCATGGCGGCAAACTGTGACGTACATTCTGAATCTGGGTGGCCAGGTAGCCGTGCGGACAGAGTGTCTATATTCTAATTCGCATTCGCTTGCCGGTCGTGGGTTCGATCCCCGTCGACTGCAGAAATTTTTCTGATGGTCCAAGAAAGTGTTTGGGATTACACGTTAAAAGGTAAGGCCCCCGTCATTCCTTGCTCGCACAAGACTTTCGAAGACTTTTGAGGGTTGCTCGTAAGGGGGCAACCGAATGACGGATAGAACAAATTTTAGAACAAATTTTTTAGAACTCTGAAAATAGTTGATGGTGAAGAAAATAGCTAGCGAATAGCTAACGAATGAAAAACGAATGGGAAAAATAGAAGAGGTAAAACTGGTAAACAAAAACATACATAACCACAAATGCACTCGAAGCAGGAATGCAGAGGGTAGTTGGCTTCATTCTGACAGGTTATGATTTTCTTATTCATGAAATATCTCGAATAGAGCTCAATCCTAAACGGAAATATCATTGAATCGATGAATCACTATCGGTTACATTCAATGATACTATCCTTCCTAATTTACTACCATCGGTCAGAACAGAATGAAGCCGACACCCATGGCTCCTTCCTCTTGTTGTGCCTGTCAGTATTCAGAGTGGTGTCGACGGACTCGAAGTATTAGGCGCTGTTGCAAGATATAATCTGCAACTTTTCTAGAAAATAGATACGTTTTATTCATCAGCAAAAAAATGACTGACAAGTTATGAATAACATATTGTAATATAACGATAGTGAAAAATTGAACATACTATCGCAAAATTTCATTATTTATCTTTATTAGTAATCAACTTCATTCAGCCAATGAGAGATTTATGGGAATTATTTATAATACTTGACAAAGTAGCACTGAAGAGCCTATTATATCCTATTGCTGTAATGATATAGTTATTATGCATTCAAAGAACAATTTCCGGAAATTTAGACATATGATGTCGGCAACGTCGTACTGACACAGAGAATCGTTTTTTAACTCTGTGTGAATGTGGATTTTCATAAATTAGGTCATAGGAATGGTGAAGCCAAGTTTCTCTTTCATTCATTTTTTTCTGAAGTGAAAAATACGTATATATTATTTTTTTACAAACTTCACAGTGAGATAAAAACCTCAATATAGGAAACTTTCCCATTATTTGGGGTCCCAAAGAAAAAAAATTACGTGTGTCAAAATGGTATATTACGTGGGAAGTTACATATTTCGCACGAGTGATATTTAGAACGACGCCGCGTAGCGGCGAGTGCGGAATTGTAACGAGTGCATCAAATACATTTTCCAACGAGTTATATACACTATTTTTCCCATGACCATAAATATATGATCTAAAACACAAATACAAATTTCGAACATTCAATTGTTTTTTACCCTTCAACTGTGTGGTGGCAAAATGTCACAAGAACTGTGTGGTGGGGTAGGCCATACCCCAAAAGCAATAATATTATATACATTCATTGTGACATCTTTTTTGAGCTTTCAGATTTTTCTGTTATTCAGGTAAGTACACATAAAACATTTTAGCTGACATTTTTATTGTTCAGAATAAATAATTATTGCCAAAACATGGGGAAACATGTTTCCAGATTGTTTATCTTCTACGAATCAATGGACTGTATTTATTATTTACTATGTTTTGCACTCTGTGAATATGTGTATATCTCATAAACAAAATCTTTAGTACATGAGAAAAACGAGCTGTGATATAACCACTAACCTTTAGTGAAGATTGATGTAGATCGAGAGAGTGGTCGATCAAAATGTTTCTGAGCGAGATCGAGAATTCTTTGAGCCGGTCGAGATTGTGCACAACACCACAGTGGTACCATTAACGTATATTTTTCGACTGTACTCGCTGTCACCGAATCGTACCATGGGAGGTACGCAGGTACGCACCAAAAACTCGCGTCGTCTCTTCCGTGGTTTGAATCCACGAGATTGTGGAAAATCACAGCAGAATAACGCGCCAAACTTGTATAAGTAAATTTACTTTATATTAAAAAGAATAGAAAGAGATTTTTTTTAGACTAATACCAAATACCCAATTAAATTATAAAATAAAATTATGAAGTGAGTGGAAACGAAACACAGATTTTCAGAAACATCATATCATTATACTCATACGATATTAATCAATAACGACGCCAAGTTGTCTTTTCAAACTTATTAATCCGTTTTTCATTCGTTAGCAATTTCCTAGCTATATTTTTTATCATCAGCTATATTCATACTAGATTCAAAATATACCATGTGAACAACAACTAAGAACAGCTATCATCAATCCTTTTTCCAACTTTGATCGTCTATATCTTCAGTTAGCGAAAAGCTGTCATGTTGCAGTTTTTGTTGGTCTGTTGTGATTTAGTTTCTCTATTTGATCGTGTAATAATATGCATACATTACATTTTTAATTAACGATATCTATTAATACTCCAGATCACGCCGACAGCCGTTCTTAGTTGTTCACATGGTGCCTTACACTTTGCCGCTCCAAACATCAGAAATTGCTTTATTTTGAAAATAAAAACGACTTGGACTTATCGATCGCCATTTTGTACAGCGTGGACATAAAACTAAGAAGTAGGTACCGAACTTATTTTATGAAAATTTATTTGAAGGAAACTTTCCCATTGTTACATACCTTTCCTTTTATCTTGAAAAGCCGGAGTTTATCCGCCAATCTCGCAGCATTCCCGCTATCCACGTAACCGATGATCCGGCCGTCCAATTGGATAACGTAGCTCGACTTCAGGTCGAGCGTTTCGGCATACTTGAGCGGAATCATCCCCAGCTCGGTCAGCACGAGTGGCACGTTCTTCACCTTGATTATTGAATAAACACACATTTGGACGAAGGAGGTACAGAGTTTTTTCGTTTTATTGGTTTCATTGAACTAGACTTCTTAACTAAGAAGTCTGGGATGAACAGAGTTGCCCACGTTTGTCAGCAGGAGCAAGACTGTACTGTTTCGGCCCACCAGGACTCATCAGCCGCTCTTGGTCTGCTGACAACATGAGGTTCTAGCCATGTTATCGCCATCTAGTGGCATAGTTTCATTTAATCTCTTTAGGCGCACGAAACGAAATTCCTGAAATGTTCGTGGAACATCGCGCGTTCCCAGGAAGGACAGGGATAAGAGGTACGTTATTTTGCTAAGGATTATAATGAACGTTTTATGACAATTTTATTCATAAATTATCGAGTCTATTACTGACACAGTATCCTAGACACTGACAACGGGTATGTTAATATACCTGATGGTAATGTTACATCTCCTCTACAAGGGGAAAAAACAAATTACATAAAATAACATGAGATTCATAAATTCATTTTTTTCACAGGCTTGTAATCATTTGGTTGGGTTGCACGACTGAATCTCTAGCAGCTACCATTCCATTTGAAGAAGGTAGAGTTGCATGTGCTTCAGCAGGTTATATAATGACCATCAGTGGATTTGACAATGATTTGCCTTGGGTTATCACCCTGTCCAATGACTTCTGCACCTTTCCAATACAATATTTGCCTAGCACGGTTCAGACAGCTTTGAATTCCTAGGTGTCCACTATGAATGTTTGTCAACCTCAAAGCAATTTGATCGAGTTCTAGATTTCTGACATAATTTTCGATAGTATTGTGAGTACGAATGGTATATATTGAGACAATTACAGGACATAATTGTTATCTCCATGTCAAACTAGAATCTATGCTAGGTGACAAAATGTTGGTCTATTTAAATTAGTGGTGGCCGTGACGTAGGAGTCATATCGGCACACCATTTTGATTTGTTCTTATATCGCAGAAGATGACAGTTTCGTATACGTCGTGGAATATGCAATTTTACGCAGAATGTGGCCCAAATTAGAACTTATTCGGAGTATCAAATTTGATATTCTTTTATTGGCAACACGGCAACATTTATACAAAATGTTATGCAAAAAGTTTGAAAATAAAATATCATTCTTACAGTTCAAATCAAATTCAAACACTCAAATTGATATTTGGCTTTGATTGAGTATGATTACTTTCATCAGGATGAAAACCATCAATCAAATATAAAATATAATAATAATAAATATAATTTGCTACTGGAAGAAATGTAAGTGAGGATTTGCATAATTTTCTTATGGTGAACTAACAGTGCATTCCCTTCATCCCATACCCCTCTGAAATGATGATAGTTCACTGAAGCCACACTAGGTTAGGTTCGGTTTAAACGTGAGTGGGCCCATGTCAGGCTCTCCATTGCGACCAATGGCCTATTGTGGCTCACCCTATGGTTATATTTCTCCCAGTATATCTAATCTCTTGACGAAATTGAGGAGTATATTGGGAGAACAATTTATAAGGTTTTATGGCCTTACTGTTGTATTGCCAAATGTTGAAAATCTGGTTCTGGCCGCTGCAGGGCATGTACATAAAATGTGTTCAGCCGTTTCATCCTCCTCCAAGCATAGACGGTACTCTTATCTTGTGCATTCCTACTATAACTCTGAGATGTGCTCTACTAAGTTCTAGTAGTTTGTCAGAGTCCTGTTTGTTCCTTGTACAAGCAATGAATGCTTTGGAATGGGCTAGGCCCAGTAGACTAGAGCCACACTAGCTTTTGATAGCTAGCAATTTCAGCAGAATGTTGGGTAAAAATATTTGGAATGAATAGTATGTCTGATCACAAGTATCCGTCATTTTCAGTGATTTTTTTAATTTGGGAATGAAAAATCAGCAGATGCAGTACTGTCAGTTGGATTTGGAATATAGCCGAAATTACCAAGAAACGAGCTTGAGAAATTTGTCATAAAATTATGAGGCATTTGTCAATGTCCGAAGGATATTCGGCAGAAATTTTTTTGTCAAAAAATGTATAACTCAACCAGCTGATCAACTGCTGCTGATTACTATGAAAACGTGTTCCGAATTACAGCACTGTATTTTTGATTTTATATTTCGGAACACAGCTTTTCAGCAGTCAGTGGATCTACTGACAGTACTGACCAGTTGAATTCGGAATACAACCATAATGTTGGATTGATTGGTTGTGTTCAATCATGTGACCACAAATTATTTGATTTCATCGGATTTCTACTTAACCAACAAATTTTCTTCTCAAGTTATCAGTTTCTCATCACCGAGATCCATGATTTTAAAGTGCCCACACCAGGTGCCCGATTCTCGAATCCGTTGGAATTCGTTTCCATGGGAAAAACTCGATATTTCCCATGGAAATTTGAGATTATGTATTCTTGAACTTGTATGGGAAACTATTCCTACACATTTCAAGAAAACTGCTTCCCATGGTAATACTCATGGGAACAACATGTTTCCCATATTATACACTCATGAAATACGAAGACTCATTTGTTATGGGAACTGAACCCTAGTGAAAAATTGGAAAAGCATATGTATCGCAAAACATGGCAAACATTGATTATATAGATCATCTAGAGGCTTTACAAAATTTTGGAAGTGGCTGAAATCCTTGCTAGAAGACTAAGAAGAAGGTTTCTGCCTAGAAGGGACCCATTTGAGTGTTTGTCTGCTGCACAATGCAGTTAAAGCTGTAAGTTTGTCCGAAGACATTACTAGAAAATTGATAGGTGCTTTAGAATCTTTTCAAGTAAATTGGGGAAAACATTTTTTTTTTCCTCAAGTCCTCAGAGGCCTCCATTATTTCCACCTCGTGTTTTTTTGATATTATTTGTATCCATATCGATCAGAGGAAATATAGTAAATATACAATACACAATTATCTCACCGTCGCAAAATTATATTATAATAGGTTCATTTGGGTTTGAACAATTACTGTTTTAGAACTGTCAGGAGTTTGCGCAGTAAAATCGGTCGCGTTCGGGTTTTGTGGAACTGTTCTAGGACTGACTCTTTACGCGTTCGGGTTCTTTCAGAATCGTCCTGAGACGGTCCTAAAACTATCCGAAACCAGTACCTGCTCTCGAGCATGAACCGTTCTAGGATTATTTTTTTCGCATGCTCATTTCATTTAGTTTTCGATTCTGTCTGTTGTAGCGTAACGTCATAATGATATATTTTTGTTTATTCTACTGTTTATTGCTCATTTCAATATTTTCTCAATATTTATGGAGTTAGTACATTCATTTGATAGTAGTTGATCTTCATCTTAAGGAAGCAGTGGTGAAGGAGTTACTTGCTGAAAATATTTCACCTAATCTGATAATTCTCGAACTTTTGTTTGATCATGTTAGATAAACCGAAAAATGGAGGATTATGTTGGGAAGATTATATTCAGAGAGACAATTCATTGAACATTTCAGGTGGGTGTTGAAATTCATGTAGGTACAAGGGACACAACATATTGAAAATCTAGCTATGAATGCTATGATAGAATAAATTCACCATTCCTCCACAGAGGGTTTCCAGAGATATTTTCAATAGACTCAAAGGAGAGTTTGAAGCTTCAGAATATTATTCGAATAAAGATACAGGTGCCAAACTATTGTTTTTTTTCGCAAATTTTTTATAGAGGTTATGTTCTCAGAGGTTCTCTTTTGTCGCGTTCAGGTTTTCATAATTTGTGAAGCGTTCTGAAACAGTCCTAGGATTCGAAACGACTGCGCACCAGTTCTACGCAGTTCGAGAACGATTCTTGAACAGTTCTAAAATCGGAACCCGAATGAACCTAATATAACCTCAAAATTAGTCGCAATCGAAATGTCAATATTTCATTTCAATCAACCAACAGTTACCAACATAAATTTCACTTATTTCATTGGTGCATGCCTTTTCTCTAGAGAAGCCGATCTCACTGTGCCCAACATAAGCTTGTCAGGGATAACCATACATTTGAAGACATCCATTTTGATGTTTGAAATTACTATCAGCAATAATCTTTCTTGGGAAAATCACGTGAGATCAGTTGCTAAAAGTGCATCCCAAAAACTTGGTTTTCTGTTTCGGGTCAGGAGCTATTTCACTTCCAGTCAGCTGCTTATGATCTATAAGGCACAGATCCGACCTGTCCTGGAATACTGTTCTCATATTTGGAGTGCAGCACTCAAACATACCCTGAAACTGTTGGATTCTATCCAAAAAAGGGCAATTCGTCTCGTGGGTGATGCCTCGCTCACAAACTCACTCACTTCTCTGAAACACCGTAGAAAAGTTGGCGAAGGATGGACGATTCTCTTCAGAAATATCAATAATTGTTCCTTCCTTGGCAGTCCCTGCGAGATTAACCTGTCGAGTTGAGGCTTCGCGCCCCTTCGTGGTCACTTTTGAGACCTGCAGAACATCTCTTTCCGGGTCTCTTTCCAAAGACTCGTTCATCCAACGAAAAGCAAGGCTCTGGAACACATTGCCAAGTGAGGTGTTCCCCGAGGCATAAAACCTCCAGAAATTCAAGAAGAACACCAATTCCTACCTTATTCCCCTTGATTCTCACGATGTTCTCTGAACATTACAGGATATCCCTTATCGTGGGAACCAGGACATAAAAAAAAGTTACCAACATAAATTCCACTTATTTCATTGGTGATTCCATCTGGTTCAAAAATAAGTTGCATGACAAATTATCATTTTCTATGGGAACTGAAAGCATTGGATCATTCTCCAATAGGATCGAATTCCTACAGACTCGAGAATCGGGCCCCAGAGGTCACTATTTAAGTAAGTAAGAAAGTATTTATTCATATCTTCATCATACAGGAGTTTCTGAACTTATTTCATATTGTTTGGTACAATCAAAATACAATGAAAATAAAAGACCAGGACATATCATCATCACCTAAGCCCCAATGGGCTTGTATTGTGAGTATTTGATATTTCCTGACTTTAAACAATGTTCTTCTTGGTTTGTATATCATTCTGTGCTGATTGATTTTCTTCTGATTGAACTTTGGGAAGGTGCGTGAGAAAGAAACATACTGAAACTGGAGGTGGAAAAACTTTTAACATAACTATAGATTGTTAATTATTAATTGAAGACTGAGTCATACATACTTTTATCTTGACATATCATATTTTTGACTGCTCTTTTGTAGGAATTAAAGGTATTCATAGTTTTCAGCTGAGTCGGAATTAAATTACTGATGAGTTTTCTGTGAATCTGGTGGAACGTTCATGATTAATAGGGAAGTATTTTTTTCCTTTGAACATCCAGATTAAACATTGGTAGGCATAGATATTCCTAATCTTGAAGAGATTAAGTTCTTGAAATAGAGCTTGAGTAGAGTAGCGTCTCTTTTTATTGAACATAATTTTCAAAATTGAGTTCTGAGCAAATTGGACATTTTTCAATTGGTTATTATAAAGCCCACCCCAGACAATAATGCAATATCTTACTACAGATTCAACTAGTGAGTTATACAATAAGAGTAGATTTGTCTTATTGAGAATATCTCTTAAGCTATAGAATTTGTGATAAAGACTTCTGATCCGCTTTGTGACGTATTTAGCTTGATCATCCCATCTCAAATGCTGATCTAGAAAGATACCCAGATCAAGTTTTCTCAATTTCAGGACAGTTACAATTATTATCATATTGTGTTTCATTACAAGAGAATTTATGTATTTTTAAATGTCTATCTTGCGGTTGGTCTCTGGATTGAAGGGTAAAAGTGATGTATTTCGTCTTTTTTATATTTAGGCTCAACAGATTATGATTCAGCCACATTTTGATTTGATTAAGACCACATTCGGCAGGAGAGTAGAGGTTGATCCATGAATCACTAGAGAACACTACGGCAGTGTCATCAGCGTATGATACCAGACTTCCTTGAAATTGGTTAATTTGGAAAATACTATTGAGATATATAAGGAACAGGACTGACCTAATACAGTGCCTTGCGGAACTCCAATACTGATTTCTAGTGAGTCACTCAGAACATTATCAATTTTTACTCGTTGTGTTCTATGAGACAAATAGTCCTTCAAAACATCCAAAGCTGGTCCCCGTATTCCTACCTTATATAATTTATCTAATAAAATGTTATGTTGAACGGTGTCAAATGCTTTCGCTAAGTCGAGAAACACCGCCATGCATTTTTTCGAATTTTCAAGATGAGAAATTATCATATATAATACCACAAGTGATAATATTTTGCCGGAAATATTCGGTGATTGTTAAGACAGCTTGATGCCTAGTAATTTCGTGAATGACATTGTTATCAAAACTATGAGCCGTAGGCGAGTAGTTTTGGATCAATGTCATGAGCGAAATTAGAGCAGCAAGCTGGAGTATGTCAATCGACGAATATTTCCAGGAAAAATAGTATCACGAGTTGTATTCGTATGACTATTTCATGATTGAATGAGACAATATAATATATAAGAAATAGGAAACATAATTTAAGTATATTCTAATTCAAACATGAGAACATAATGATAGTAATGAAATACAGAATTCAATTTTTTAGAAATTAACTACCTACTTATAGTTATTCACAAAGTGGAATGTACAATTTTGATGAACAGTATTTTGTTTATTATCTTGGAGATGGTTGCTCTCAAAAGAGTGTATACATTTGCTATCCAATTCGAACAAAATAAATTGAATTTATGTGACATGAAATAATTAAAAAAAAAAATTATTGTCGCCGACGGGCTTGAACCACCGACCTTCGTATCACCGCGCCACAACCCTATCAGTTGAGCCACATCACCTGGTAATTATTTCAGTTACACTTGAGTGACTGAAGAAGATTACTTTAAAAAGGAATTTGAATTCTAGTATTGTTGTGTCAGACCGTCAACAAATATGCAAACTTATTAAATTACACATGAAACGTCCAGCCAGAATGAAATTGTCTCGCCTTTCGTACAAAATGTCTCACTAACGCGAATTATAAGTAAATAAAATGAAGTAGGTACTTAGGTTATTGTCTCTTGTGTCAGATTTGAATCCAAAGCAATCTTGACCAGACACGATGTCAAAATTTTATCGCTGATAAACGAGGTTTGTTGGTCACGTGTGGGTCAATTCGGCTTCCGTATTGGTAGAGCAAGTCCGATAAAATTTAATAAACAAAAAAAATATCGCTAGAATACAGAAGAAACCGTGAAAATGGTCGATTCTGATTGGTTCTCGAGATCAAGAGTGGAATAGTCACCATTAAATTTACCTTATCTTCGTCGGGGGCGTCCACCACGACGCAATCCATCGCGAGGTGGTTGAGCAGGCCGCAGGGGGCGCCGTCTGGCGTGTGGGCGGGGCAGATGAAGCCCCACGCGTCGGGCAGCAGCTGACGCGCCTCCGTCGTGCGCATCTCCTGGAAGAAGGCGCCGCGGTGGACGGCCCTGAAGTGCGACATGTACCGCATCCGGTTGATGTTCTCCGCCATTATCACCAGGCCCTTCAATGTGAATTTTTTCGTCTTTGAATCACGAATTTTATGATGACAATTTAATTCATAAATGAAAAATCCCACAAGCCTTGTAATTTTGTCATTATGACAGCGAAAAAAGTTTGCCCTAACTTTTCCTGCGACAATAACGGAACCTAACTTTTGAAAGCCTGACAACCAGCCATAAACAAATGTTTGATGAATTAAATTGTCTTACCGAATTACACTAGCTTTTTTTTAGGTAAACTTGGCATTTATAATTCGAACTTTGTTGCCATTATATGTATCACTTTATTTATACTGCCAAATCAACAGGCCATGGCCCAATTACAGACAGACAGTTCCTATCTCGGTTCCGATCCTACAGTAAAATATACTACTCACAAAAAAAAGAGAAATACACTATGCAGAAAGATTACAGTACAGTGGGAAAACAGTTGAGTTAAGATAAAAAAATCAAGACGTTCATGACTAAACATTTTCAAAAATATTGAACATATATAGCCTATAACTAAGAATTTTGAGAATATTAAAGAGGTGGAGAACAGCCTTTTATTTCGCTACTACTAAATGTAAAATAGTAGATTGTTTTATTAGGATCAAAAGTGACACTTTGTTTGACAAGCGAAATTTGCATTTGCGAGGCGGAGCGTTTAGCGAAGCCGAGCGAAAGCAAAATTTGCGAGTCGAACAAAGTCACTTTTGATCCGAATGAAACATGCTATTTTTTCTGCAACCGAAACAATTGATTCAATTACACATGTGAAGTAACCACCAATGCCGTGTCATAATAATATGTATGTATGCAATGAAACAAATATTGATAAATGATCCATGTGGTGAGAATATTCTACCTGCATTAACAGCAGGTTAGGTTTTCTAGGATGTTCGAATTGTGGTTTTAATATAAATACAACCACAGAGTGACATATTTTTCTATGGACCAGGTGCTCTAATGACAAATACCGCAGCTATAGGAACAAGACGTGGAAAATGTTAGGTTAGTGAGCATTTCAACAATGATAGTAGTGATTATTTATTCTTCTCCATACTACACTGTGTTTGACTTGATAATCAAATGAAGCTGAACAATATAGTTGTTTGAGACAAAAAAAACTAATGCTTGTCGTGATTATTCAAAAACATGTTATCCATCCCGAGAATAACGAATGGAATACAGATCAAGCAAGTATTTGAATCTCGAAGGCTTCCCTGATCAAAACAAAAATACTTAACTGAGATATTCATCATTCCAATACTAAACTATAATAAGGTGTATTTATATCTCCAGCATGGGTATGAAATGCCAAATCTGCTGAAATCGGAAACAAATCAGGTATGCGTCTCAACCCAAATAACCAACAGTCACAATGTTGTTCATTCTGGATGACGTCCAGTAGATCCTTTTTAGTTCCTAGGAGCTAAAGTTCAACTTTAGCTCCTAGGAACTAAAATTCAACTTTAGCTCCTAGGAACTAAATATGTTGCCTAGCAACATACCTATTTTTGTGTCAGTAATAGAAACGTCAATTTAAGAGCTAATTTTGGTATCAAAATAGACGACTTTTGTGCCGGTTGCAGAAAAATATCTATATCACAGTTATATTCATTTACAGCTCTTTGACATTTTCCAAAAGGTGAGCAAGATTTAACATCAATGTAGAAAATAATATTTTTTCTTCTCCGTAGTTTTACTTCAGGTACATGAATGTTTATTTGACTAAGTAGATCAGGTACATTCAGTTTATTACTGAATATGTCTGAAACAAACAGCACATCATTGATATCTCTTCGGGACTCTAGTGTTCTTTGCTCAAATTCCATGAGTTGATTTCTGTATGAGATCATAAAAGCAGATTCTTTATGTTTCCTGTAGTAAAGGTTTCTCAGAAATTTCCTTTGTACTTTTTCTATCATTTCAGAGTATACACTGGTGTTGGGATTCCATATAACTGAGGCATATTCTAGTTTAGGTCGTACAAAAGCATTGTATAGAAGTATTCCGGTTTTCCAGTTGAACTGATATGAATTTCTAAGCACAAAACTCAAGCTTCTGTAACTGTAGTTCACAATATTCTTGATATGGGAGGTAAAAATGATTTTTTTTTTCGAAAACTACCCCCAGATCTCTGAAATCTTGTACCTTTTCTAGTCTAGTTTTATTCACCCAGTACTCTGTATCAATGGGATTAGTTTTACGAGTAAATGATATAGTTTTGCATTTATTTTCATTCAGAAGAAGATCATTTGACTTGCAGAACGAGATGAGTCTGTCAAGGTCTTGTTGTAGTGAAATTTTGTCATTTTCGTCATTGATTATTTTATATAGCTTCAAATCATCAGCATATAATAAGAACTTAGATGTCTTTATAAAATCTCCAACGTCATTCACGAAAAGGATGAAAAGTAATGGACCTAAAATAGATCCCTGGGGTACTCCTGATAATGCAATAAAGTTATCCGATCGATGTTTATTGAATTGTACAAATTGAGTTCAGTTATAAAGATATGATTCCAACAATGATATCAAATTTTCATTGATTGAGAACTTCTTCAGTTTATTGAGTAATGCTTTGTGGCTGACTTTGTCGAAAGCCTTAGCTAAGTCTGTATAGATGACATCCACCTGCTTGCACTGGTCGATAGCAGATGCTACATCTTGACTAAAGACCATCAAATTAGTGACAGTTGATTTTTGCTTAACAAACCCATGTTGCTCTGGTGCAATAAGGTGCTGTACATGTCTATAGAGCCTATTATGAATCACTTTTTCAAATACTTTTGAGGGAGCCGGAAGAATTGTGACAGGCCTATAATTGGTTATCTCTCTGGGATTTCCAGATTTATGAATTGGTGAAATTTGTCCTATTTTGAAAAATTTCGGAAATGAATTAGTTTTTATGGGGACGCTTTTGGTTTCAAAGTACTTATTGCTTCCAGTACTTCATGCTCTTCTATGTTATCTATACTTAGGTTCTCCAGATGAGGATCAGTAGCATAGTTTATATCTGATGCTTCAACATTAATATTGTATACTGACTTGAAGAAACTTGCGAAGGCATTAGCTATTGCTTTGTCATCCTCGAAGGCATCATTATTGTATCTGAAACTTTGTGAAATACCTTCATTTCGCTTTTTTTCATTTATGTGTGACCAAAATTCTTTCGGGTTGTCATTAAGGTTGTTTTCTATGTTCTGTAAATGTTCATTTTTGCAAGATGTAATGTGGGCTTTTACTGATTTCCTAAGCAACTTGTATTTTTCTCTGTATTCATCTTGGTGAATACCTAAGCATTTAGATTTTTTGTAATATTTATTTTTTCCCTTATTTCTAGTTTTAGTTGTTCACTGTACCATAATGGATATTTTTCTTTATGACTTGGTACTTTTTTCTTTGGCAAACATTTTTCAAACACATTGGTACATAGGTAATTCAACTAAAAAAACAGCCAGAAAAGATTACTCGTCCTAAGGACTCGTAGTTTTTTCAGAGGCCAGGCAGTTTTTTTCGTTTGCCAGGCAAAAAAATTCTTATTGATACATGTCAAGTTTACTTCGAAAAAAAAGCTATCGTGTAAGTGAAAATGCGAACCCGTCAAAATTGGCCGAATTCCACTGAATCGGGATTAGACAATTTGATCGCGACTTTAGGTATGATAAAACGTTATAACACGTTGATCGTGAATTGGAAAATCACTTCAGTGCTGAATCTGATAATTGGTGAAACTGAGCCTTACTGCACAGCAGCACTGTTTCCAGGTTAAATTGTGAGGTAATTAAATAACAAACAAACGTAAGAAAATATTTGCCCGACAACAAAATTGTCAAACTAACAACTTAATGATAATTCACTGCCTACCAGCTGATTTTTCATAACTGTTCAATAAATACTTCTGAAATCCGACAAATTTTGTGGGTCATACTTTCAGACCGACAATCTGAAAATGAGGATATTCATCATGAAAGCAACAATCATTATTTTGAAGCATCACCAAACAACTTCAAGTTGTTTGACAAAAATAAAATGCATTATTTTATTTTTATTGAATTCAAGATTGTTATCCAAGTTTCAGCTCTAGCTTAAGCCAGTTTCATATTGGCTAACAAATCAATACTATCCTCTCTAGAATTGTGTCATCTCCAAAGACATTGCCGTCATGAGGGAAAATATACTGAAAAAGTTCATCTACATAAATGATGAATAGCAGTAGGTGCAGCACGGTACCCTGTGGAACCTCACATACCATATTTTGAGTTATTGTTGTTGGAAAAAGATACGTACCTTATCTTGCATGAGGCCCAAACCAGAGGGACTGTTCAAATTCCCCGTGGCTAGGAACAGTTCCAATTGTCGTTCTAGACCTCCGCTGCTTTTTGCCGCTTTTATGATCTCGTTGAGGCCCAGACTGAAGTTGGACGCTTTCGCGTGCTTGAAGATGTTGATTTTCAGGCCGTTCAGCCAAGAGCTGAGCTTCTCTTTAATCAGTTGGAGATACAGGTGTCCGCCTAGGAACGAAGAAATAATCTATCTGAGTAGTATCATTTGGAATAGCCTGTGTATTATAATTCAACACACCCTCATCAACATAAAATTGCAGCATAAGGCATGATACTCTTTCAGAAGTTAATTTCAATAAAGAACTCAATATCATAAAACAGATTGCAGTCAACAACGGATATAACGTTAATTTGATATACAGTATTCTTTCTGAAAGACAACATAATAAAGCTATTCAAGAAGTTTATCCTACCATCAAATATAATAATCAAAATTACGGAACTTTAACCTATTTCGGACCATCAACTGAAAAATTAGATTCTAAATGAACAGGACTTAAAAGTAGCATATAGAACAAATGACACGTTGGGAAGGTTTATCAAAAATAATAAAGACAAAACTTCAGAATTCGAGAAATCAGGGGTATGCAAACTCAACTGTGGATCTTGTCCTAAGGTATATATCGGTCAGAGAGGTCGTACGTTTAATCAGCGCATTCATGAATATAGGATGAATTTTTTGAAAAAGAAAACAAATTCAACATACGCCAACCATATATTAGAAGAAAACCATAGTTTTGATGATAATAATTTCGAAATTCTACACGTAGAAAATAAAGGAATGAAACTCAATCATTTTGAATCATTAGAAATCAACAAACTCAAAAATTCTAACATTTTACTTAACGATCAACTAGACCTCAATAGTTCACCACTGTTGAATTTGTTTGCTCAGTAGGTGGAAATATGTATTCGATATCAACCCTTTCAAGTTAATCCGGTACACCATATTTTAATGTTGATATTGTGTCTATTTTTCCAAAAATAGAGGTTTATCGAAACTTTCCACAAGTAAATCTAATCTTTCAGGTTGGGAAAGTAGGATGTATAAAAGTAAGGCAAGCAGAGGTTAGTTTAGTTCATTGTACAGTCGTATTCAAAAAAACAGTGTACAAGTATATTGGAGGGAGAAATTGACGTCATCCTATTTGCGTAAAACGAGCTATCGGGAATGAATGTCTACCAATTGTTGACAGTAGAGTAATCATAGGTTCTCAAAAACACAAAGCATTGGCTGAGCAATTTTACACAACGAGAACTAGAATGCCGAAATCTTCTATGTTTAATACTTGTACGCTTTTTTATTGTATACGACTGTACCAGTATTTCATCTGATGAAGCTATCAGTTGCGTTTTATTTATCCGATTCCGCCACCGGAATCAGTTTGTGTCGTTTTATTTGCAACTTTTCCGATTCCTGTTGCTACTTTCCATTCCGTCTCACTACAAGGAATGATGTGGAATGACTGTTGACAGGTGTCAAAAAATCAAATTAGATTGACCAAAAACGAACCTTTTTGAAAGAAAAAGTCATTTAGAATACCTTTTCAGCGTGAGTTTCACTAGTTCATGATTCTTTCAAGTAAGACAGGTTTCATATGTTCATTCCCAGATAAAATAAACTCTGTCGATCTCAGAGAATTTTCTTCAATCACCACAATCACTGCTCCAAATATTAGTTGATTCATTTTCTAGATTCTTAACTCTAGTATTATGCTTTTGAAATTATTTGGATCTCCCATATACAAATATAACCTCTTAAGTAAATTTTCTCAAGCAAGGTTATGAAGTTTCTCGTTTTATTTGTAAACGTCATTCTGTTCCCACCACCGCTACCAGAATGGAACAAATAAAACGCAACTGTTGTGTTAGCGAAACATGTGTGATCAAGAATTTTGTGGAAATCTTATAGTTTGTGAAGTTTTTACATTTGCTATGGATTTCCATCAAGTAACGGCCAAGTCAATTAATAAAAAAATAGTTCACTCGCCTATTCAATCACTTGTGGTATAACTACTGAATATTGAGATGTTTATAATTCCTCTGGTGTGCCCACTCTTCAATTGTTTTGTCAGGCTAGCTCTCGATATGAACAATTGAATGCGAGTTCGGAACCTGGAGTTCTCATATTCGATGATAGATGGCGTGAACAATGGACGATTTCTTGAAAAATTTCAAAATGCATTTCGAATCTTATTATGAAGTTGAACTAGACTTTCAAGGATGTGTTTTTGTTCTTTCGGGACCTGAAGTCCCGTTGATGATGGACGATTTCAATCATAGCTGATAAGAAGCATCTAGAGACAGTACGCAAAAGAGACAGGGCACAACAAAAAATCCGTGCGGAAACATCTTGATCTTGACATAACTGTCAATATTCAAGATTTTGTTCAAATTTAAAATATAAATATTATAGATTAAGAGAATTGGTAGTTCATTAAGCAGTTATTGATATTATATTATTAGTTGAGTGAGTGTATTCTGCTTTCATCATGGACTGAGTGCTGCAATGTGTGAGGATTATTTAAAAATACGAACATTCGTTTTATCTTATGTACCAAAAGTGAGTAAATAACACAGGATTTTCATAAGTAAAGACTTCGTGTCGTTCATGAATTCACCATAGAGCGGCTAGGCTCTGGAATTCATTGCCTGAGGAAGTGTTCCCAACAACATATAATCTTCAGAAGTTCAAAAAGAATACCAATACCTACCTCCTATCCCTATCCTCCCTAGGAACGCACGATGTTCTTTGAACATTATAGGGATTCCCTTTCGTGCGCTCCAAGCGATAAAAAAAAATATGACGCACCGTTTACATTTAACCCTCAAGTACCCGTGGGTAGGTCAAACTGACCCAGTGATATGTTTGAAATACTGTATCTTTGACACTCACACGAATAATATGTTGCCCTCTCTGAAATTCTCCTGTAATATATATTTCTACAGTTTGCTGTAAACATGAGAGCGACAGAATTCGCAGGAATCTGCCAGTGAACTGTTTTGGGTCATTCTGACCCGTGGGTAGTTGAGACGTCTCAAATCTTATATGATGTTTGCCATTGTTGTTTGTATAGGTAGGTAAGATAATCATTCAACCTTTGGAGGATTTCCTGCTATTTTTCACATAAGTTAACTAACTTATTTACAAATTATTTTTGTAACGCAGAAAATGGATCCGGGAGTATACCATACAATGTTCGCTCTATTGCATCTGGTATAATGAAAATACCGAATCCAACACATCCCATGGTGCCACCTGGGGTTAAACAAAGAGTTGGTGCACCAAAAAGAAAAAGATGCGGTGTCTATCAATGTCGAAATGACAGGAAAGCCAGCAATAGCTGCCACAAGTTCTCAATCCCTTTTGTGGACAGTGTGCGAAAAATATCTGCCCAGAATGTTCTTCCAATTTTTTTTCTCTTATTTCAATGTATATCCATAATGAATATCACATGCTCAGTTGAATATCTTTTCCATGAAGCTGAAAAAAACCTCAACATTTACTACGGGTCAATTTGACCCGCGGGTAGTAGTTACGTTATTTTCATTGTGGATAGTACTTGCGGGTTAAACAAAAAATTGTGAAAATGAAAATGTGAACTGAAATGAATGTGTCATGATGCCTATAGGATTGAAACTTCGGAAATTTAGCAAGATTCTCCCACGCCTTGCTATTTTCCCAAAATAGGCGATATCGAGAGATTTCGAAACTCCTTTCAATAGGAAGTGACCACACCATTTGACTTTCTATACATCTTTCTGAATATACTCCCTGACAAGTTACCTAGCAGTACCTCCTGCATCATCACAGCGTCGGCCCCCTCGATTTTGCACTTGTCCTGCGCAAACCGAAACAGCTTCTGGGCCATGAAGACGAGCATGTTGAACTTGTCCTCGTTGGAATCGAGATGGATGAGGATGCACTTCTTCAATATGAAATCGGCTATCTCGATGTCGGTGCTCCATTCGGGGCATTCATAAAACTTCACCCTGAACATTTTGCCCAGGTATGCTTTGCATTCCTCGGAGGTGTGGAGGTTTTCCACGTGGACGGCTCTCAGCATGGTTCGCACTGAACTGGAATGATACTTTTGCTATGAAATTTTTGCATATTTAACCCTCTCATGCATAATGCCTACTAGAGTCACTGGATGGTATTAGTAGAGAGTTCGGGCACAAGTGAACTTCTGCCCTTGAGTTGAGTGGATAAAAGAATGAGACGAATATTCTGCTCTTTGTCTTTTCAATTCCCCTAATAGGTCGCGTGCACGATGACCGACCAGGGAGGTAAAATATTGAAACACAACCTCACCCTTCTGTGAAACAATGAAAGACAACCTCACTTTTTTTATTTGTTTACAGAGGAATCAAAGGAATTAAATAGTTTTTCACAATATTTTGGCATACGAATCGTGTTTCTTGCGCTATTCATCAATTCAAGCATGTCTTCTCATTGTGCTGTTGTACAATGCACAAAAAATGCAGCGAGAGACGAAGGAATATGATTTTTCAGGTAAATAGTAATCTCACAGTTTCCATTATGAAATTTTGTCACTTCTTATTAAAATTCCTTCTGCTACTTCTGCAATAAAAGCTAATACTGCTGAAAGATTGAAAATGTCTACAACACACATGATTATATTTCGTCAGCATGTCAGACCAGTCCTCCCGTTTGATTGCATGAATCCAATCTTCTTTTTTCACGACTATTTCTATTCGTTCCTATTGCAGAAGGAATTTCGATGAGATATCAGAGAAATTATCAAATTTCAAAAATGAAAACTATATGTGAGTGACTATAGTAGGTACTTACTTTTGAATCATAATTTACCAACCGGATTCCTTCGTCTCCCGCTGCATTTTTGGTGCGTTGTACAACAGCACAATGTGATGGCATGCGTGATTTGATGAATAGCCGAAAAGCTCGATTCGTATGCCAAAATAATTGTGAAAAACTATTTCAATCACTTGTAAACAAATAAGAAAAGTGAGGTTGTGTTTCAATGTTTCACCTCCAGGGTCGGTCATCTGACAGTTCTTGCACGCAACCCATAGCGTCTAATTGTCAGAAACGATTTTAGAGGTTACATTTCCTCTCAATTCAATCATAGACTTGCAGAACATCTCTTTTCAAAGACTCGTTCACCCAACGAACAGCGAGGCTCTGGAACACATTTCCAAGGGAGGTGTTCCCGAGGCAAATAACCTCCAGAAATTTAAGAAGAACACCAATTCCTCCCTTTTTTTCCTTGGTTCTCACGATGTTCTCTGAACATTACAGGATTTCCTTTTTCGTGGAAACCAGAACATAAAAAAACAAATAAGAAAAGTGAGGTTATATTTCAATGTTTTACCTCCAGGGTCGGCCATCTGACAGATCTTATAAGATGTTAGTAGAAAACAGCTATCAAATTAACGACCTCCTCTTCATCATTAATAACTGGTGTATCTGTTCAACCTTATCAAATACAAAACAATGAGTGGAATGTATCTCTGGGAAATACCTAGATGATCCCGAAAACGGAGTACAGTACAGAATATATTTGAACCAGGAAGACCAGCGAAAGTCTACTTTTTTTTCCTTGTTTCTTTACTGCCTTGTTCTGCTACTGAGGCTAATCACCGACGCTGGTGAGCACACTACCCCCAACCGGAAATTTTGCCGAATCCTCTAGTGTTCCAACCAGAGGTAGGGATCTTTAACGAGTCTAACATCCATGGCCTCGGGACTGCCGGCTTAACGTCCCCTCCGAAGGACGACACATCCGTATCATATCTTGTGCTCATTGATATGGTAGCGGTAGCTATGATATGCTATTTCGCTACCTATGTGCGGGCTTACGCGGCGTTTCCTTGGTTTTATTCTAATTCTTCTTCTTTTTATCGTAATATCCACTTCAGCCTCATCATCAGAATTTTCACTACCTACTCTATAGTGTTTCAATTTGCTTCAGCATCATTTCCTGTGGGTTATTTAGTATAAAATGTGCGAGATGAGACATTACACAAGTTTTTCCATCATAAAAATACTACAATCAAAAATTCAAATTTCGAGCCAAATCCGTCAATAAAATGCGCGCTCGACCCGCCGCCTTGGATTTTAGGTACAAAATTTGTTTTTTGATAATAGCTCAATATTATACTTTCTTGGAATTCGTATATCATAAAATAGATCTTAAACGGATTTATTGAAATATACTGAATTTTTGACAAGGTATTTATTTATATTTATTTAAGATTTCTCTCTTACAAACACAGCCGGGAGTATTTACATATAAGAGATAGTGCTTCAAAACACAAAGACTTAGAGCTAAATTAGAAAACTAAACTTAAAAACAACGCAGAGATACTATAAAATACATTCAATGTTGAATACTGCTGATTTTATTTCTTTTGAATTACAGTTGAGAAAGTCAACAGTGCACCTTTCTGCAAGTATATTTATACATATATATATATATTGTCGTAGCATTTTATTCATAGGAGAACAATCTAGATGATTTGTATAAAAAAAACTTCTTGTTATTTGCTTTTGGGTGTATGATGAATTGACATTCATCGTACAGGGCGTGGAAAGAAATTCTGAATTGAGACTCTATCACGAATCTGCGATTAGAAGTCTATAAAAATCACAAGTTTCCATCGTTCAAGTTTGAACCCCCTGATTGGGTATGAAAGTGTTGAAAAGGAATATTCTCAGATAAATTTATGAACATACAAAAATGGATATATATTTATATAAAGCAATACATTGAGAATTCGCATTCTCTATGTGATGAGAATATTTACTCTTTCTCAGTTGATTCAATAGAAAACAACTACTTTCCTGGCTATATGCCACGACGAACATTGAATTATATCTATTGAACACACACGATAAGAGTTTGAAAATAAAATATAAAAACTTCTGAAATTGAGAATTTGCATTCTCCTTCAGATAAAAATATGTATATGCACACATCATTCTGAATATTCAACAGAAAACAACTACTTTCCTGGCTATTTGCCTCGTCGAACATTGAATTATATCTGATGAACATTCAAAAGGAGAACATGAAAAATGAAGAATAAAATCCTCCGAAATTGAGAATTGACATTCTTCTTCAAATCGGATGAATAATATGATGTATAATGATATAGAAATATAACTTACCAATATATTCAGCATTGAAATGAAAATTGGAATGTATAGGAGAAGTATACTGGCATAAACTCTGATCTTGATGAGCTTGAAAACTTCCAAAAATAATCATTCATATCAGTGATATGAATGATTATTTTTGGAAGTTTTCAAGCTCATCAAGATCAGAGTTTATGCCAGTATACTTCTCCTATACATTCCAATTTTCATTTCAATGCTGAATATATTGGTAAGTTATATTTCTATATCATTATACATCATATTATTCATCCGATTTGAAGAAGAATGTCAATTCTCAATTTCGGAGGATTTTATTCTTCATTTTTCATGTTCTCCTTTTGAATGTTCATCAGATATAATTCAATGTTCGACGAGGCAAATAGCCAGGAAAGTAGTTGTTTTCTGTTGAATATTCAGAATGATGTGTGCATATACATATTTTTATCTGAAGGAGAATGCAAATTCTCAATTTCAGAAGTTTTTATATTTTATTTTCAAACTCTTATCGTGTGTGTTCAATAGATATAATTCAATGTTCGTCGTGGCATATAGCCAGGAAAGTAGTTGTTTTCTATTGAATCAACTGAGAAAGAGTAAATATTCTCATCACATAGAGAATGCGAATTCTCAATGTATTGCTTTATATAAATATATATCCATTTTTGTATGTTCATAAATTTATCTGAGAATATTCCTTTTCAACACTTCTTGTTATTTATTCTTAAATTTACTTTAGGTAATAATATTTTGATAAAGTTGACTAGGAATGGATCTTTGTATTTTATAAGGTATGTATTATTAACATTTGAAAGAATTTTGTATTTCTAATAAAAAAACAAGAATTTCATAAGCCTTGTTTACAATGTTGTTCAATGTGGGTGTTATATTTTAGGTTAGATTGCAAATAAACTCTCAGATCCTTACACTCATTTTTCCTAGGAAGTTCAGCGCCCTTTATAATATAAGTATTTCTAATGAATTCATGTTTAGGAATAAAAGTTATGACTTCGCATTTATCAATGTTGAGAGTCACTTTAATTTCGATCAAACCATGTAGACATTGAGTTGATATTTACTGATGGAATGAAAATCGAACTGGCAACTCTGGTCCGGGCGGACAACAACTGTCATGTGCTGTTGTCAAAACGAATTATTCACGAAATCCAATAGATTTCACGTGTGAATATAGGACCGTGATGCGAATATAAATGTTTGAGGTCGACGAAAATACTCGGGGAAAAACTGTCTATACAGGGTTTTACATAATTCAATACAAATATTTTAATGACATATTCCTGGGGTCAAAATAAGACTTTTTTTCCTATAAACATGTGTCCTAAAATCCACCCCCTCCAAGCTACAGACATCGCAAGATGCGCAAAAAAAATCTTAAATTTTGAATTTTGGCTACAATTATGCATCAAATATTTTGAAAATTCACAGGCACTTGTATTTTTAGACGAACTATTAATTTCTTGATTCAAAAATAAGGTAACTCGAATCGAAAGGGGTGAATGAGGGTTGCATACAGATTTGATGGCAAACATTTTCTATTTCCACCAAAAAAATTTGAATTCACACATCATCGTTGAATTGGCCACTAAAAAATCATACATTTCAGTCTCTTGCATTTTCTTGAATTAGCTAACCGTTTTAGAGAAAATCGCTAGTAAATGAAAGGGGTGTATTGAAGTAACAAACAAAAATACCTAGAGGGCTATGACTTTTCACTTTGTTTCCCCTATTGACGCTTTTGACGTTTAATTTGTGAAACAGCACTGATTCACTTGTAAGTTTGACGTTGATTTTTTTTGCGCATCTTGCGATGTCTGTAGCTTGGAGGGGGTGGATTTTAGGACACATGTTTATAGGAAAAAAAAGTCTTATTTTGACCCCAGGAATATGTCATTAAAATATTTGTATTGATGTAACACCCTGTATATTGTCTCGCCTGTTTTCGGCTATCAATTTACAGACTCGACTATAATAGACAGTGTTTCGTCCTTGGTACACAAATAACTGATATATATACTCACCGGTAAAAAAAACAGCCACCAAAAAGTTTGCCCTAATTGTTCACCCTGTAACTTTTTTAATGTTTGTCAGATTTTTGTGAAATTTGTATCAAACCGTAGATTCGTGTTATGGAATGTTGGCATAAATATTAGTTTCCGTGAGAAGCTGATGATTTGATCATTATACAGGGAAAAACCAAAGTTACTATTCCACCCTTTACTTCTTAACGCCCTGTGGCGAAATTTAGTGATTGAACTTGGCTTTATTATGCTTTGGGTTGAAATGTGATCCCTTCTCAACACAATAGTTTTTTTTTTCACGTCAATATCTCATTTTTGAGAGATGATACGAATGTTTGAAGAAAGTATAGCATTTTTCAATTTTCATTAACAATAATCAGAACTTACATAAACATATCGATTAACAGTTCACTCAGTCACTCATTTCTACCTCTTTTTTTTTCAGTTACGGGAAACATCCTTATTACCAAAAAAACAAACATAGCAGACCTGTAGTCAATAACGAGTATGCCCTCCTGGGCTTCCTCTAGTTTGATTTACAACATTCAACCGTCGTAGCATAGACTCGATCAAACTCAAGTGGTCTAAAATGCTCCTTAAAGGGCGAATGGTAGCTCTTGAAGTGTCTCCCACAAGGCCGGACAAAGGCGAATGAGCCCAATGAGCCTCTGGAGTTCATCCCTAAGATGCTCTATAGGTTCTGAATTATGGTTAACAAATATTTTTGAAAATCCATACTTTCTTGAAACACTTGTATATTCTCTCAAAAAGAAGATATTGACGTGAATCTAGAACCATTATGTTGAGAAGGGACGAAAAAGGATCACAATTCAATTCAAAACATGATGAAGCGGAAGGTTGGAGAATGGTTCTGAATTATTTTTAATAAAAATAATAAAAATTCATACTCTCTTAAAACACTTGTATCTTCTCTTAAAAAGCGGTTATCGACGTGAATCAAGAACCATTATGTTAAGAATAAGGGCACACTTCAATCCAAAACCTAATGAAGCTAAGTTCAACCACTCACCTTTTCCACAGGGCGTTAGGAAGTTGAGGGTGAAAAAGTAACTTGTTCTTTTCTGTGTAATGATCCAGCCGTCAGCTTCTTATATTCATCTAACATTCCGAGACATGAATATACGATTTGGTCGAAATTTAACCAAAATCGGACAAGAATTTAAAAAGTTACAGTGCGTACAATTTGGCAAAATTTTTTTGGTGGCCGTTTTTTTTCTGCCGGGGAGTGTAGTTTTTTATTGCAGTACTCACTCAGCAAAGTACATATCATCTTCATAGCCTTGCATCAGTTTCTGGTAAATGTACTGGTCCGGATAGTCACACAAGCATTTCAGCATCAAACACAAAGGAGTGTAGTACAAAATTTTCGTGTGACTGAACATCAACTTTGCAGTTCCGTCGGTTACGAAATGTAGAACATTTGTCTGAAAATGAAAATTGAATCAATTCACGGCCACCACAGAACCAAAATAAAGTAAACTTTTTAAACCCGAAACTATATTCAACAAAATAATAATTATATATCAACAAACAAGTGATCCCGACCGAGAACGCTTCAACAATGGCACCGGTCTCTCTATGCCTTAAGTATCTGACACCTCATCGCTTAATCACATCCGTGATATCACTGTCCTAGTCATATTCCTGTATTCTTGAGATAACAACAGTCACAATAATTAGAACTTTCATATAACAGGTTCATTCGGGTTCCGATTTCAGAACTGTTCAAGAATCGTTCTCGAACTGCGTAGAACTAGTGCGCAGTCGTTTCGAATCCTAGGACTCTTTCAGAACGGTTCACAAATAATGGAAACCCGAACACGGCAAAAGAGAACCTCTGAGATCATAACCTCTATTCAGAATTTGCGAAAAAAACAATAGTTTGGCACCTGTATCTGAAGCTTCAAACTCTCCTTTGAGTCTATTCACAATATCTCTGGAAACACTCTGTGGAGAAATGGTGAATGAATTCCATCATAGCATTCGTAGCTAGATTTTCAATGTTTTGTCCCTTGTACCTACATGAATTTCTACACCCACCTGAAATGTTCAATGAATTGCGTATCTGAATATAATGGCAAAGTCTCCCTAATATAATCCTCCATTTTTCGGTTTATATATCAAAGTTTGAGAATTATCAGATTAGGTACAATATTTTCAGAAACTTCAGCACGTAACTCCTTCACCACTGCTTCCTGAAGATGAAGAACTACTACTATCAAATGAATGTACTAACTCCATAATATTGAGAAAATATTGAAAAGAGCAATAAACAGTAGAATAAACAAAAATATATCATTATGACGTTACGCTACAACAGACAGAATTGAAAACTAAAGGAAATGAGCATGCGCCAAAAATAATCCTAGAACGGTTCATGCTCGAGAGCAGGTACTGGTTTCGGATAGTTCTAGGACCGTCCCAGGACGATTCTGGAAAAACCCGAACGCGACCGATTCAACTGCGCAAACTCCTGACAGTTCTAGAACAGTAATAGTTCGAACCCAAATGAACCTAATAACTTGGTATGCACCCCTAGAAATATATCTGAATGGCAACCTAGCTAGAGAAACTGATTCGGTCGGCTACCGTACGTCTTCGCCAGTGTTGCCAGGTCAACAATGAGATAAGCGGTAGACATAAGAAAGCGGTAGATGTGAGAATAAAATGGAAGCTATAACTTGAAAATTGCAGTTTTTGACAACAACTAGCGTTTTACTAGTTACGTAATTAGGTAGGTTATCAACAAATAAAAGTCTTGGAAAAACAATCAGTAAAATTGTGTGGTAGCCACAAATTTTGGATATTCATAGATTAAAGCAGTTTCCTAAGGGATTCACCGATCCACTCTCTTCGTAATTCTCAAAAGTTTTGTCTGATACACTTTACTCCTAATTTCGATTGTTTTTGGAATATCAACGTTTGAAAAGTGACATTTTGGTCTCATCAAACCCAACCAAAAACTCGAATAATATTGCTTTCAATCAAGGTAAATTGAGAGTTAACAAGATGTCACCGCGACAACGACTTTTTTCCAAAGCAAACTTGATTTTCAGCAACATTCGAGTTTTTAGTTGGGTTTGAAATTATATTATTGCGAAAACTATCCAATTTCAGCCGTCATTTTGAAACTTTAAGCTCTCATTTTCTCATAAAAAAGTAGGTTTTCATCTGTTATTTATGTCCTCCAAATTTCGTTGCGATATACCAGACAGAGCTGTCATTAAAGTACCTAGAGCACTTTTGTGCTGGTGAGTACTGTGGGAATTGGAGGCAATGGAGCAGCTGACGCTAAGGCAAGGTTTATTGGACCGGAACCATAATCCCCCAAACTTCAATACGCGGCTGGCTGGCAAGGTAGACGCAAGAAAGTGACAAGATAGGTGACGGGTCTAATTACCGGTCACTGCCCCTTGAGGAAGCATATGCATCAAATGGGCATTTATACAGACGAACCCATATGCAGACTATGCAATGAGGAGGAGGAATTGGCCACCCATGTAATATTGGAGTGCAAGGCACTAACTAGCGCGCTGGAGAAACAACCTTCTGGGAGCACCAAACTCACATGAGGTTTTTCCAACGAAATATTTGGCGAAGAGGCTGCTAAACCTCATCAATCAATCAATGAAGTACTGTGCTCCCGAGCACTTCTTTGAATCGGTGCTTAGTCCTTTTCGATCATCATTTTACAAACAGCTTAGTGTTTAGTAGGACTTGATAGGAGCACTTTTCGAGATTACTACACTTAAGCCTTATTTTCACACAACTATCATCTTTAAAGAACCGAGTACTGAAGAAACAGAAAAAAGGGAATACAGGCTTTGGAACAATAAAATTAATTGTTATATAGCTAATGGGCTTCTCTTGGATGTGGAAAAGACACAGTTGATGCAGTGGGATAGAATGAAAACAAATAACACGAAAATCGAACTAGAATATAATAACACCAAACTTAAACCTGAATCAAGTGTGTCTTTTCTGGGTTTGATAATAGACAGTAGATTGGACTGGAAGGATCACATAGACAAAATCTCAAAATCAATGTCACAATATAGCTATGCACTTAGAATATTGAGCCTCAATGTCGATTATAAAACAGCGTTAATTGCATATCATGCCTATGTTCAATCAAAAATCAGCTATGGCATTGTATTGTGGGGAAACTCAACTCATGTAAAACGCATACTGTTGATGTAAAAAAGGTGCCTGAGATATATTTTCGAACTAAAATTCATTCATCACAGTCTTGTTTTAATATAAACAAACAATCAGTGTGTTGCGGAGTATAATTCTGAGTTTAGGTCTCAGTGCAGTACGTGCACCGCACACGCATTATACAGGGTGTTTCATAGTTGTGGTGACAAAATTCTAGTAGATATTCCTCTCAACAAAATATGGAAAAAAGTTAATATGAACAAGGGTCCGAAAATAGTTCGTTTCCAAGTCCAAGTTTGAAAAAATAGTTTTTTATTTTCATCTTGAAAACGCTAAAGCCGATTTGATTGAAATGTTCATGGTTTATTTACGCAATTATCGGACATTTACTGGACCTATCAGATTTGATCCAGATTCAAGCAAGTCGGTTTATTATTTGTAAAAAAAGTCACCCTGTGTTTTCACTCGGGTTCTTCTTAAATATATGAACCCACTGAAAATACAACATTTCTGTCCATCGCTATGTTTTCTTATCTTGCTTCGTTTTCAAGAAACACGGACAATACGGAGATTCCGGACTTCAGACGGGGCACTCTATGCACCCAACATGGTACGTCAGCAACTAATCCCTGACCTTTTTGCAGGATACAATGTGTAATGAGCGATGTAGTTCGATTCAGAGAGCTGGCTAACACCCTTTTCAGGTACCGTCCATCTGCTCTCTTTCAGAGTTTTTCAGTTGTGTTTTGTAGGCTGGCAATGTACTCACTACCATATGCTGCAGTGGCAGGCCTGCCAGCTACCTCGTTAACCCCCAGTAGAGGCCCACTAAGCAGCATAGGCCCGCTCCCACGATCGGCTGGTAGTTTTCCACAACCACCTACATACACCGTCGTACTTCTTCTCTGATGCTCACAACTACATCATCATCATTTCTTACCGTGTGTTCTGTGCAGGCTTTGTTACTAACTCCAAGCGCCACTTTAGGAGCAGCACTGTTAATTGGAACGCAACAGTGAATCGTGCAGGACTATCCCCGATGCTCTGAAACTTGACAATATTCAATTCGAAAATTACATATTGGAAAAGTGTTTTGCCCTGGTTGGGATTCGAGCCTAAGACCTCGCGGTCTTGAGCTCTTTCCTTGCGAGAGTCCTGCCTATGCGCCCGACATATACTCACCGTTCCCGTCTGATCGTCTCTGACACACCGAATGGACACCCCGGAATCGGAGAAAAGCGCCCCCCGCTGCTTCCACCCCGACCTTCTGATCGCCGTCGGGTAATTCCTCCTCGTCATCAACAGCATCCGCACCAGCTTCTCGTTACCCTTGACGATGAAGGTGCCGCCCCACTCCTGCTCGTGTTCGCCGTGCTTCACCAGCTGCTTGGGCGACATCTTCGACAGATGGCAGCAGTCCGACTATGGATAAAACAATCAGGTTAATGTGCTGTATTGTTACAACCCTTTCGCTCACTAGATCCTATTGTGTGTGCTTACGTTGAGGGAGATCCGGCTCGAAGGACCAAAAATATGTGCGATAAATCATCAGAATTTTATTAGAAATGATCACGTGTGTAGCCATCTGAAGGATATTGTGAGAAATTGGGAATCAAATGGATTGAACATTTCAATTACAATGTGTGTATGACCATGTGAAACTGTGTTATTCTGTAGTTTTTGGGCTATATCTTAGACATGTGGCAGCAGTCCGACTATCATCCGATCGATCAAGATAATAGTTGCGTTCGATTTGTTTCATTCTGGTAACGGTGGTGGGAACACAATGACGTTTACAAATAAAACGAGAAACTTCATGACCTGGCATGAGAGAATGGACATAAAAACAATTTGCATGCTTTTACTAATCGTTCGAAATTTTAATGAGAAATTAAAATTTCATTGGTGACGTCGCTGCATGCAAGGAAAATTAGATGAAGATGAAGATGCATACATTGAAAAAACAATGACGGCTAAATATCTGGACTGTCTGACGTGTTATCCCGTCATAGAGTCTAGATATTTAGCTGTCATTGGAAAAAACGTTGCATTGGAAACATAACGCTTCTAGTTCTTCAAGTGAATGCCCTGTATCTCAAAATTCGGTTTAATGACAAAATAATGGCAATGACGTGGACATAATATATGTCAAAATATTCAATTACACAAAAGCCTGCATCAAGTATGATCGAACATAGAACTGAAGCAAACACATCAATCATGGAATGGAAATCAGACCAGAGATACCTAACAGCTTTATTTTGTTGGACAATAGGACTCGTCAGTATTTTCCCAGTGCCGAGATTATTTTTGAGAGGCAACCTCCTGGATACACTCATATCTTACATGATCATAATGATAATAATAGGAATTCCTCTAGTACTTCTAGAATTATCAATAAGTCAATATTCGAGGAAGTCTATATCAGGATCATGGGACCTCTGCCCGTTTTTCAGAGGCATCGGATACACCAAAGTTGTTACTCTCTTTATTTTTCAAATTTACTCGAACGTTCTGAACAGTTATTCGTTATTTTACTGTTTTACTTCGATTCCGAAACTCGAAGGTGGTGATGTATCCAGAGATTATATTAACCAATCAAATGAAGAGACATTTTGGCAAAATGAAGTACTGGGAATGGATCGAATTTTGGACAATAAAATAGGTAAATCTCATCGAACAAAATGTTATACACTCACCAGCAAAATATCCTGCCAGAAAATAGCAAAATTGATCGCTCTGTAATTTTTTGATAGGTGAGTGGACCAACTATTTTTCATTTCTCAAATAGAATCATTGCTTGAATACCTTTCGATTTCATATTGTTTTGGAATTTTTCGGTCGATTTCTAGGTGCTGAAATCATTATTAATGCCACGGTAATCTTTAAACGAATAGAAATTCACCGCGACTAAAAACTGATGTCACGATTTCGTAAGTAGGGGCAGACCATAGCACAGTTGCCATATGTTATCTAAACACATTAATAAATTCTCAATTATGTATCGGTAATATTCCTATTTAACAATACAAAATCAATGGTCTCAAAATGTTCCATTATGATCTGTGGCTTATTGCTTATAATACATACATTCGTGTAAATAGTAATTATATTAATTCACACTAGAGGACATTTGGAGCGGTGAACGTGACAACATCGCGCGCACGACTTGTGGGCGTGGTCTTATCTCAGCATTCAGCACAATATTGCCAGGTCTCCAAAATTTACATGAAATATTGTTGTGAGGTATGGAATATAAACTACTTAGGTACCAGATGAAGTAGGACAGCCAAAAAATTGTCTTATTTTGATAAGCTATAACTCGAACATTCCTTGGCCGATGTTGGATTTCCAACCAAAGGTAGAAAGCGTCATCCTTGGGCTATGCGTCATTGGCATCGGGTTTTCATTTTTGCGATTCGTTCTCTTTGTACAGAGTGTGAATTAAGAGCCGCAAAAATTTCAAATTTTTGAACTATAATTTGGGAAATGTGAGGGACCCTAGAATTCTTTTTTAGATGTTGGGTGAATGGTTGATCCGATACCTCGAGACGTCTTTGGAATTTTTTTGATAAATTGCGTTGCTATGGAAAAATCGCCATTTTATGAAATTCCATTTTTATTTCACAATATGGCCTCATTTTGTTAAACAATAACAGCCAACATCTAAATTGCAACGAGGGATATTTCTACTGAAGATAATCAACACCAGTGGCGCGCAAAAAGGGGTTTATGATATTCAGACGCGAAAAATTCGTTTTCAGTGAAAAAATTGAACAGTTTTATTGACCGTTACAGAGGATGAGGTGTCATACCCTCAATTAGCATGATGTTGACAAATTCAGAGGCGTACAAAAACGGAGCTTATGATATTCAGAAACGAAAAAAACGATTGTATTGAACAAATCATCAGATTTTATTGATCGTTACAGTACAAAAGTTGCCATACATTTAATTAGCATGATGTTGACATATTCAGAGGCGTGCAAAAGGTGATTCTGTAATGTCGACAAATTAAAATTTATTTTATTTTCATTTATTCACAAGGTGCATACATGTCATTAATTCCTTTTTTCCGTAGACCTCGTATTAACGACTAAGTTTAATGTATATGAAATCGTTCATTAATGACCCCCATTAATGGACGATTTGTCTATTAATGCACGATTGTTTTATAGCATGCATTCATTGTTTATGATATAACTAGCGGAATCTGCATTTAAATCGAAAATATGGATTTCATCGACGATTTTCCGTTAACGGGTTCGCCTTTCCAAGTTTCTGACACGATTTTAATCCCTGTTTTCTAACAGAAGGAATTTATTTCCTATGTTGATCATTTCGACAAATGTCAAATGACACTAATGTCAGTAACAAGGCTACTGGGTGATTCTTAGCAGTTTCCGGATGGATGATGAATTCGCGAACCAAGTTTTCTTCATTGCAGGAGAAATGAGAAACATAGTCGACGGAAAAATGTTGTAACCAACTTGTATATTAAAAGGCGATTAATGATCTCGAACATTAACGCACTCGCTTCGCTCGCACGTTAAAATATGTCGATCATTAATCGCCCTCATTAATACACTAGTTGGTTAAATAACTATTAATGAATCCATCGGCGTACAAAAAAAACATATGTTTACGTACATAAGAGAACATTATTCAAGAAACTGAAAAGAAACCCCAAATAAATGAATATTCAAAAATGAAATGTGTTTCTTATTTTAGTAAGGCGTTGGCCCCCCTCTAGCCAGAATTCGAGCCTGAATAACTGCCTGGCACCGACTTGGCATGCTCGAAATTAATTCGTTGATTGGTTCTATAGGAACTGCCTCCCAGATGCCTAGAATCGTCCTTTCGAGATCATCAAGAGTTTCTGGCTGACGTTCCCTTCGGGAAAATTCCAACACCATCCAACGCCAGATGTGCTCGATAGGATTCGATGGAAGTCTGGGAGGCAATTCACTACGATTAATATTTTGGTCTTGCAGATACCTGTTTACCAATATTGCCCGATGAGGCCGAGCAATATTCCTTTCTAAATATCATAAGCCCTTTTTTGCACGACTCTGAATTTGCCAACAATTCATGCTTATCAAGGGTATGGCATCTCTTCAACTGTAACGATCAATAAAACTGTTGAATTTTTGCAATAAAAACGAATTTTTCGTTTCTAAATATCATAAACCCCTGTTTGCGCGCTATTGGTGTTGAGTATCATCAGTAGAAATATCCCTCATTGCAGTTTACATGTTGGCTGCTATTGTAAATCTAAAAGTGGCCACATTTTAAAATAAAAATGGAATTTCATAAACTGGCGATTTTTCCATAGCAACGCAATTTATCAAAAAAAAATCCAAAGACGTCTCGAGGTATCGGACCAACCATTCACACAACATATAAAAAAGAATTCTAGGGTCCCTCACATTCCCCAAATTATTGTTGAAAAATTTGAAATTTTTGCGGCTCTTTATTCACACTCTGTACAAAGAGAACGAATCGCAAAAATAAAAACCCGACGCCAATGACGCATAGCCCAAGGATGACGCTTCCTACCTTTGGTTGAAAATCCAACATCGACCAAGAAATGTTAGAGTTATAGCTTATCAAAATTAGTCAATTTTTTGGCTGTCCCACATCATCTGGTAAGTAGTTCATTTGGACATGCTGGTTGCTCGAAAGAGTCGAGATTGAACTATAATATTATGGGTTCCCCTATAATGGAAGGAGAAGGGACTAAGTGTTGATGCAGTTTACACAGATTTCTCCAAGGCATTTGACAAGGTAGATCATAATTTGCTTTTTTTGAGTTGTCCAAATACCTTGGAGGCTATTTGTTGGCATGGCTAAAATCCTATCTAGATAATCGCAGGCAAAGAGTTAAGATTAATTCCTCCTTGTCAGATGAAATTTTAATCACTTCTGGAGTTCCTCAAGGTGCTCATTTAGCACCCTTACTGTTCAATTTATTTGTTAATTATGTATCTTCTTGCTTTAAATTAAGTTCAATATTATTATATGCTGACGATATGAAAATACATCTCAAATTGGAGAGACCCTCCTCCTCAACTCATCTTCAAGAGGACTTGGACAGGTTCTCTGTGTGGTGCCACAAGAAAAAACTAGTTCTTAATATTCCAAAATGTAAATATATTCGTTTCAGCAAAAATCACAGTACTCATTAAATGATGTAGTCATTGAAAAGGTAGACATTATGAAAGATCTTGGTATACTTTTTGACTCTAAACTTAGCTTTATTCCTCATATTGAATTTATCTGTAACAAAGCTTTGAAGATGCTAGGGTTCATCAAACGATCAACAAAGGACTTTCATAATATTGTCGCGTTGAAATCCCTTTACTTTTCATTGGTACGCTCTCAACTTGAAAATAGCAGCTCTGTGTGGTGTCCTGCCTTCCAAGCTCATATCATGAAAATAGAAAGAGTTCAGAAACGTTTTTTGCGTTATATTGGTTTCAAGCTCGGTATTCCTATGGAGGAATTTGATTATGACAATATTTTAAATCGCCTAAACATAAAAAGCCTAGAAGAGCGTAGAAGCAACAATGACATCATCACTATTCAAAAATTATGTAATAATCAGATTGATTGTCCTGAATTATTGGCCTCCCTAAAATTTCATGTTCCTCAAAAACGATTACGTTATAGCAGCACATTCAATTTAGAAACTCATAGAACTATATATGCAAACAATAACCCGATAAACAGGATGATGACGCTGAGTAACAGAGTGAACTGGGACATTTTTAACACTGGCACTGAAAGAGCCAAACGCATTCTTGCAATATTGTTTTATTTTTAATGTTCATTGTATTTAAAGTGTAAATATGTATAAATCAATCAATGTTCTGAGATATGTTGTATAGGCTATATATATTCATGTTTTTTTTACACTGGGTTCACCCGTTAATAAATAAATAAAATGTTTTATTCAACGATAGTACTCTTACATCTTCTTGATAACTTGATTATAATTGGTGACTTGACAACCTTGCTTCGTGAGTGGGAATGGAAGATTATCTGACCAATAACGGAACAGCATAAAAGCTGACGTCACCATTTATTCGACGAATCGACAAATGGTGGCCATGATGGTGCGTTTGAAATGAGCTCCGAAACTCGACAATTTCGAACAACGCATACACTCATTATTCACAAAAGGAAAGTGTGAGAAGTGGAGTAATTGAATGCCAATAATGGGCTTATATCACAAAAAATTTGTTTCTTGCTGTGAGCTCCCTACGTTTTATAAAAAATTATTGAAATCCCCGATTTTTCGGACCTCCGAAAACGAGGCGATGATGTGACGTCAAAACCCTAATACTGAAACAAGACTATTCCAGACAGAGATGAATGATACATGATTTCTGACAGAGTGAATTAGCGCGAGATAACAGTTGAAAGAATTAATATATCAGTTGCCTCAGTCTCCGTCGGGCGTTTGGTATTTTCTTTTAACTATGGCGAGATGAGGTTTCTACGTCATAAGAGGGTCCGTTTTCAGAAGGTACTATCATTTATGTTCAAAAATTGAACATTCCAGTTAATTTTTCGATCGAATTATGTCGTCAATCATTATTTATGTATAAAATGATCATTATAAACATGGTTTAAGTTGAAAGTTCTCCACTCGCCCATTGTCATGATCCTGTGTTTTTCAAATAAGGGCTGGATCATTATTTATCATTCAAATTATACCTGAAGTTATTGAGACTGTTTACTCAAAAAATCGAATCTACATTGACAGTTTTTTTGGAAAAAATGTTTCTAGATCATGATTTATCAAAGTATCAAAAAATAATAATCTCAACTCTTTTACATCTGAAGTGAGCCATGTGCTCCTTGGAGCTAGTTCCTATATTTTGACGCGAGTTTTGACGTGTTTGCCCAATATATCTCTTATCAAAACACTGCAATAATTTATTTTGTTTTTCAGGTGAACCAAACTGGAAACTTGTTGGCTGTCTTTGTGCAAATATGATGCTTGTATTCCTAGCGAACCATAGAGCAACAGCGACTGTGCAAAATTTCTTGCCGATTGCCTTCGCAATATACTGTACAGAAACAGCTTTGTTACTGATCTTCATACTAGTAACGCCTGGCAGCTTGAATGGACTTTATGATTTCATATCTGCTGAAGTCAATTTTGATATGTTCGTGGTATGGAAGAAAGATGCAAAAATACTTGATGTCTTCCAAAGTGTTTTGTTTTCGCTGGGAATCGGGTTAGGTATGTTGTTGATTATTCGAAAAGTATACTCAGGTAGAATAATCAGTTCAATTTTCATGTCATGTAACCTATGGGGACAATTTTCATAAGTAGTAATCAACAGTTATATCACAAGGTTCTGAATATTCGGGAGGTCGGTTAAATTAGAGCAAAGTTGCGCATTTTCATGCTGAACATTTATCTGCGAGAAAATTTGATGTGTCATTTCTAGTTTTCAAATTATTGGAAGAGAACGAAAATTTATTAATTTCGTTTTTATTAATTCAAGTGGAAACCAAAAGACCTAGACGTTTCTGACTGGGACATACTCAAGGCACTTTTTTACAAGGAATCTGAGTCTGTCTTTGTATTTTCCATGACGTTCTTGATGCCGAAGTAACAACTCATAACTTTGTTTTATCTTATGGGCGACATATTGGATTTTTGCATTTTTGAAAAGTCTTTTTTTTTCTGATAACAATGATGTATCACACGATATGATCGAATCTTTCCTGCTGATCAAAATTGGGAAAAAACATTTTTGCGAAGAGTGCTTTGGAAAGAACGCCAACAGTTTTGTTCAACAAGCTGAATTTCGACAGTTTATTCGAATTTGGACCTGGAACGTTCACATTTTCGTCAAGCTCATCTACTTAAACATTATGGTTTTTAATTAGGAACGAGGTAATGAGCTAGAAGTGTATTCTTCGCGAAACAAAACAAAACAAAGTTATAAAATATGCTCGAATACTAATCCTCCCACTTCTAAACAAACTTCTACGCGTTTCCTCAGAATCTGATTTGCTCGCGAGATGTCTCGTCTTCTTATCTTAGTCCTGAAAGAGGTGATTATGGTTCTTCTCAGCTCATCAATATCGATCGGTACAGTTTTGAAAATCAAATCTTTCCTAGTTCCCAATAAATAATAATCCAGCGGAGAGAGATCAGGTGACCGCGCTGGCCAACGTATGCCTCGGTTGTTGGAAATTACTCGGCAACCCTTCTTGCGTTATGTGGATAAGCTTGAGAATTCAACAGTTCTGTTCGCATATTCAATTGAACTGTCAAAATTCAGTTTGTTAAAGTTGTTCCAAAGCACTCTTCGCAAAAATGTTTTTTTCCAAATTTCGATCAACAGAAAAGATTCGATGATATCGTGTGATACATCATTGTAATCAGAAAGAATCATAATCCCCGATCCCCAAAATCTCTAGATCCTAATTTTGAATTAAATGTGATTATAACTGCAGAACTCTTCCGCCATCTTGAATTTACAATTTTTCACGAAGGAATCATAATCTCTGGCGCCGAAAACCTCCAGAAACCAATTTGGCATAGAATCGTACAATAATTACAGAACTCGTCCGCCATATTGGAAATTTTGACGAAAGAATCATAATCTCTAACCCTGAAAACACACGCCATCTTTAATTTCCTAATAGTACCGGGTTAAAAAGTATCCTATGTCCAACTCCTGGTCCAGTAGTTTTGGAGCCTGTTCAATACAATACAAACAAACAATAGTATATTACACACCGAGGTGGGAAGTGATTCATTCCTGTCGTGAGATTAGTTAGTTAACCGAGACGCAAAGCGTCGAGGTTAGCTATAATCTCGAGACATGAATGAAACTTCCTATCGAGGTTTGTATACTATTTTATTTACAACCATCATATTTCGATCAAAATTGATAAATCTGTGTTTCGTTCTGAACATACCTGAATTATTACATGAGTGAGGACGGGAAGTAGTGAGGGCGGGAAGTAGAGGTGTGTAATGTGACACTTCCCAACCTTCAATGACGTTAGTAATGACAACATTACATATATGGTTGTAAATAATAGTTATTTATTATACAAGGGAAAAAAGTAGTAGATTTTAGCTCCAGGTTGTGTTGTCTCCCGACGCGTAGCGGAGGGAGACAAAAAACCGTGAGCTAAAATCTAATATTTTTCCCGTGTATAATACACTATTTTTTTCTGTGGCAGAAGAAAGGACGAATCAATATTGAGAAGATAATGGATATTACATTATTTCGAAATCTGAAGATAATCGACGTGAAATTTCAAGTTTTTAACAGTAGGGACACCTGCAGTAATCAAATATCTGATGTCACTTCTGTCAGTTCAATTCTGTGATTTGATTTTGAAAAATTGCGAATTCAGTAGTTGTTTAGTAATATACGAAACCGCGAAGTCGAATGGAAGATAAAAGGACTTGCAGTTCTTTCTCGGAGACGGTATTATTGACTCATTTTTCGGAACTATAGCACAACAAAAGCCATTAACAGAGTATATACAGGGTGAGTCATTAGTGTGGCAAAGTGAGATAACGGCTTTACTGTTTGAGATAGATGAATGAAAATTTCAGAGATGATCTAGGATCATGAGCAGCACATTTCTAAATTACTTCGTTTCATACAGGGTGACTCAGAAATGCGTGGCGTATCAAAGTTATTCTTTTTCTTATGGGACACCCTGTATTTCATTGCATTTTCGCATTCTCCTTTGTGAGCTGATTTCATCAATGCATCACACTTGTGGTCTAGCAAGAATGATTACCGAGGTATAGGGTGTTCAAAATCGAGATTTTACAACATAAGGATTTTTTTGCGACGAAACTATTCATTTTTGATCAAAACGGCTTGCATGTCCCTATTCCAACTTTTGACTTACTATCTACTGACATTTAATTGGAACAGATACAAGGGTGATCAGAATGCTGAATCTTGAACCACTCTGTATTTGTTCCAATTAAATGTCAGTAGATAGTAAATCAAAAGTTGGGATAGGGACATGAAAGCCGTTTCGACCAATAATGAATAGTTTCGACGCAAAAAATCCTTAAGTTGAAAAATCTCGATTTTGAACACCCTATATCTGTGTAATCATTCTCGCTAGACCCCAAGTGTGATGCATTGATGAAATCAGCTCACAAAGGAGAATGCGAAAATGCAATGAATTACAGGATGTCCCATAAGAAAAAGTATAACTTTGATACGCCACGCATTTCTGAGTCACCCTGTATGAAGCGAAATAATTTGGAAATGTACTGCTCATGATCCTAGATCATCTCTGAAATTTTTGTTCATCTATCTCAAATAGTAAAGCCGTTACCTATCTCACTTTGCCACACTAATGACTCACCCTGTATATGTGATATATATCCGGGAAAAAAGTACTCACTTTTTTCCCACGGGAAAAAAGTAATTTATGAAAAGTGACATTTTATAACCTGCCAACAGAGATGAAATGCCAATTTTTTTTCCCGTCACAGAAAAAACACATTTTCCTCTTCATAATATTAGTATAGACAAAGGTCATACACATACAGTATGATGCAAATGTATGGAATAAATTCATTTCAAAACAAGACGACTTTCAAAAAAAAAACAAAAACTAGAGTTCAGAACTTTTTTTTCAACGTATTTTTTTAACTAGACGACCCTTCGATGATCAATTCTCAGTAGCAGACCTCTGCAAGATTCAATTAAGCACATGATAATCCATTTTAATTTCAATCTTCTTATGCAACATTTTGACTGTTGACTAGACGATCGGTAGACCTTTCAATAAAGGTTTCACATGACCCCTATTTGTATTTGAAAAAATCGTCCATTACGTCTTTACTTCAACACCGGTGACGTAACATCTCCCATATGAATATCATAAGATGAGGCTTCAGAAATTAGAACTCACGTGTTTTTGGAATTTTTTCAAATGTCGCCCATTTCTGAAATAATGAATTTATTCCATACATTTGCATCATACTGTATATTAAACACATGGTGTGATCCACGGTGGATGGCCTATAAGAAGTATCTGGAGAACGAAAAGACAGAGCATTCTGAAAATTGGGATGCTTTGATAATTCAACAGTCTCTATCCGTCTAAAATATCTTATCGATACAGTGTTGCCACTTCTATCAGAAACAATTAGCAACTTTGTTATTTCCAATAGAACACCCTGTATTTTATCACATTTTTAAATTCCTCCTGAAGAGTTGATTTCATCAATGCATCACACTTGGGATCTAGCAGGAATGATTAAAGAAATATAAGGTGTTCAAAATCGAGATTTTTCAATTTTAGGATTTTTTTATGTCGAAACTATTCATTATCGATCAAAACGGGTTTCATGTCCCCATCTCAACTTTTGATTCACTATCTACTGGAATTTAATTGGAAAAAATACAGTGTGCTTCAAGATTCAGAATTCTGATCAACCTGTATCTGTTCCGATTGAAAGTCAGTAAATGGTAAATCGGAAGTTGAGATAGGAACATGTAAGCCGTTTTGATTGATAATGAATAGTTTCGACACAAAAAAGTCCTAAAATTGAAAAATCTCGATTTTGAACACCCTATATCTCTGAAATCATTCCTGCTAACCCCAAGTGTGATGCCGAGTGTGATGCATTGATGAAATCAGCTCTTCAGGAAGAATCTAAAAATACAATAAAATACAGGGTGCTCCATTTAAAATAACGAAGTTGCTAGTTGTTTCTGATAGAAGTGGCAACACTGTATCGATGCAAATATTTTAGAAGGATAGGGAATGTTCCATTATCAAAGCACCAATTTTCAGAATGTTCTGTCTTTTCGTTCTCCAGATACTTCTAATAGGCCATCCACCGTGGATCACCCTGTATAAACTTCACATCCAAAGATATTTTTATGATTGTATCCGCATATTCATCATTTTATCAGAGGGAATGGACAGAATCAAAAAGAGTTACCAAAATTCCCACTCTAACTCATTACTAATAATTGATTTTAGGTGGACTATCAAGCATTGGTGCTCAAACCAATTTCAGATACCCAGTGCATGCCTCGACTCTATGGGTGTGCCTGATCAATCTTGGAGCTGCTATTCTATATGCCCTCATGATGGCTTGTTTTTATGGTATCATAAGCGAAAACACTATTAGTGATATTAAGGAGATTCAGGAAGAGGTTTTACATGCAAAACCAGATATATCTCATCTTTTCACCATAGTGCCAAGGGCACTGGAATTTCTTCCAGGATTTCAAAATTTATGGAAGTTTATTTTCTATTCAAGTATGTTTCTCAAAGGTGAGAATAAAGAAGAAGAATTTGTTCAATATACCGGGTGTCAACGAATCTATTAGACAAGTCATAACTTCTAGACCATTAGGTGTATCAAAATGAGATTTGGTATAGGTAAATGGTATGTGAAGAGGCGAGTTTTCACATATTTTTCACTTTCCGGCCACTTCCGGTTACGCCGGAAATGGCTCCGGTTCTAGATTTTTAAATGTATATTATAACATTTTTGGATATCTGAGACAATTCTAGATCAGAATGTGGCATTTTCGAAAGTTTTTATGCCTACTTAATTTTTTCGGAGTCACTTTTGAAATTACATCTAGGTGGCCATGATCGGAAGTAAACTAATCTAAGGACCTGAGGTGATATCAGAAAATTACAATCGCGAAGTTTTAGTGACAAGTATGATAGATATGAATAAGACAAGTTGGCAAAATTACATTTTCGTGTCTAACTATTATTTTTCAAATGGTGACCATTCTTTGACAAGCACTTTCCGAAAAAAGGATATTTTGACGAATCTAACGATACTAATTTATTTGCGATTGGATTACTAATAAGAACATGAATTAAATATTACTGACGAAGTGACGAAAATACTTCATAATAATTTATTTACTTTTGTCAAGTGTGCCGAGGATAGGCATGATGCATAATATTAATTTTACAGTTATTTCGATCAAGTCTTCTTGTTAATTTTGTTAAATTTGTTGATCCAATCGCAAATAAATTTGTATCATTAGATTCGTCAAAATATCCTTTTTTCGGAAAGTACTTGTCAAAAAATGGTCGTCATTTGAAAAATAATAGTTAGACACGGAAATGTAATTTTGCCAACTGGTCTTATTCATATCTATCATACTTGTCTCTAAAACTTCGCGATTGTAATTTTCTGATATCACCTAAGGTCCTTAGATTAGTTTACTTCTGATCATGGCCACCTAGATGTAATTTCAAAAGTGACTCCGAAAAAATTAAGTAGGCATAAAAACTTTCGAAAATGTCACATTCTGATCTAGAATTGTCTCAGAAATCCAAAAATTTAGAACCGGAACCATTTCCGGTGAAACCGGAAGTGACCGGAAAGTGAAAAATATGTGAAAACTCTACTCTTCACATGCTTTTTACCTATATCAAATCTCTAAAAAAAAAAATTCTAAAATTGTTCTATCCGTCATTCGATTGCCCCCCTTACGAGCAACCCTCAGAAGTCTTCGAAAGACTTGTGCGAGCAAGGAATGACGGGGGCCTTACCTTTTAACGTGTGATCCCAAACACTTTCTTAGGCCATCAGAAAAAGTCTGCGTTCGTGGGTCTCGAACCCACGATCGATACCTCGACGTGAATCGATATTGAAGCATCGAAGCACTGAGGTACGCCGGCCTGTTTTGATACACTTAATGGTCTAGAAGTTATGACTTGTCTAATAGATTCGTTGACACCCGGTATAGGATACATCCTAAAATTAACAATTTCAATAGCATAACAACACACAGCATAACAGCTCTTGATTAAATAATATAGAAAAATGTATATTAAGTTTTTGTTCTTTTATGATAGCAAGTCTCTTTGTCTCAGGTACTTTTAATACATTTTTCAAAGTTTCTAACAGCCCCTCACATTCTTTTATGCTTTGAGGGAGAGAATTATATTCTTTCAGTCCTTTATAAAGGTCATACCCCAATTGGTAAGCATTCTGCTTAGATCATTATGAGATCTCCTTTGTTAATCATGAATTTCTGCACTAAAAATAACAAACTGATCAAGATAATCCAGCAATAAACCCTTCAATAGTTTGAAGATAAAAATCAATGCAAAAGTTGCCAGCTGGAAGTGGAAGAAATGCTATGAAATTTGGGATGTGGACAACTGTGAATGTTATCTTGCTTTTTACAATATTTTCAGCAGTGTAGTGTTGACAGTTGTGATTAAAAATGATAACTTTTTTAATCTTTGGGAGCAAACAAAATGGAATCCCTTTAATGTTCCAAGAACATGGAGTACCCTGAGACATTTTCTGTTAGATTTTCAATGTTTGGGATGTCTATAAAATTCTGTTTCTTTTTCTTCTAGTAATTTGACCGTTTTCAGAGAGCTCAAGACTGTAAAAGACCTCATCAGTTTTCGCATACAGGGTTGATCAAAATTTAGTTTGAGGATTCATAGAAGTAAAAGTTCAATTTTCAAATAGAATACTGAAATAGCATGATGATTATTACTTATTTTTTGGCAGTCTGATAATAAATTTTTAGCCTTCTTAAAGCTTTCACCAGTTTTTAACTACTTATTTCAAAGAGTTTTTTTTTCAGGTATAACATCCTCAGTGGTGATGGCATCCACAATCCTTCATGAAATATATGAACTCAAACCACAATTAACAAGAAGGACTATTCTATGTTCCATCATCTTCAATCTGTTCACCTGTCTATCAGGGTGGATTTTTCTAACAAATGCTGGAGCTACACTAGAAAATTTCTTCAACAAAATCACTTATATGGTACTGATTCCTCTGATTAATTGTTTTCAGATAACATCCATAATTATTTTCTATGGCCTATTCCATTTTCGGGATGACTTCAATTTTATGCTTGGTTTTCCTCTTCCTAGTTATTATCAAATAACATTGGTATCCAGTTCACTTCTGTTGCCAGTTTTCACAATAACAAGCATGGTTAGGTATTTTCAAGAACCATTAGGTTCTCAGGCTAATTTAATAATAACACTGCAAAAATCTTATCTTACAATTGTACTTGTATGGATTCCTTTCATGGCTTTGGTGAGAATCATACGAAAGAGAGACATAAGGAAGATATTTCTACCATCTAGAAGTTGGGGTCCTTCAGAAGATTTGAAAAAGAGCAGAGAACTATTTGATGACCAATACTCAGTTCCTGAATTCATTTATGAGAAATACCTCCTGACAAATAAACTTGAAAAATATGACTGAAATGTTGTTTTCTTCTTTACTAACCTTGACCATGATTGGGACATCTCCCAAATCCTTCTGGAAGGACTGCTGTTGCTCACCATCTATAAACCAATTGACAGTGACCATAAGTTTTCCCTTGTAAGTGGCGGATCGCTGCCTACATTCTGTGGGGAAAATGGCATTGTTTCTTACTCCAATGGTACCGAACGGTACCGCAGGCTTGGCAAAGGAATAGTCCCCAATCATCAGCTTAATTTTTCTGTCATTCAATGTGAACTCAATTGGAGTCATGTCATTTATTGCTTTAGAAAGTCCTTTATCCAACATATAGTTGAAACTTTTGATGTGTGGATCGCCAAGTCTTTGTAAGATCTGGAAAATGAAGAATTTTTTGTGAAGAAACCAAGAAACTATAACCTATAAATATCACATGGATCAGGCACTTGAACAAGATCTTTATAAATCAATTCACTTCCCACTCACTTCATTCTGTTTTATAGGAGGTTTTCCAAAGTCTGGGTCGGTCAAATTTTTCAGAGAAGGATTCTCCATGATTCAAATTTCAAAATTCAAAAAGAAAACAAAATTTCAAACCCACAATACCAATATGTTGTGACATGTGACAATGACACAGAACACATCGTGCACAGAACACAGAACACATGATTTCAATCAGTTGTACGCCACCTATCGGAGTTCATGAAAGCTCTCAAAGCGGCATGTTTACTTTTTTTTCATTGGTTCACATTTGTTTTTTGTTGGTGCTTCAAAACAAACCGCTCCGAAGTGTTCAAGTTGCTGCCGTCAGGTAGCGGTAGGGCAACATTCGAAATAAATTGTGAAATGGGAAATCACCAGTCGCTTGTTTCTGTTCTGGTTTCTTCTGCTGTGCAATAAATCGATTCGCTTTCAAAAGATCTTGACTTGAAGGTTTGAGAAATTGAAAATCGAAATTTTATGATTTAGAAACATAAATCTGTTTACAAATTTCATTGCTGAAATGTGGGTACCCTTCCATTGAGAGTAGGTATTGAGACTCCATTGAGAGATGATCAATATTGATTTGATATCACCTCACATTTCTGTTTACAATGGGAAATCATATACAAGGTGTTTTTGAAATAAGTGCACATATCCAGCACATTAATATGATACTGTCTGAGGAATATCACCACGATATCATATATTTTCTAATTCTTCTAAATAACGAGGAATTTCATCCCAAAAATTGAACAAAATACGAGAAAAAAATCAAGTAAGCCACTTCAAAACAATTTAATCGATTGAACTCCGCGTGATTGTGCCTACCGCATGGAAATTTGAACAGAATTGACGTTAGATTTGCTACAGTGTAGAACTTTGGGTGGAAAAAGGGGTCTAACCTCAAATTTTATTTTGATCCCAAAAGTACGTCGTACAGTACACGTCGAGCTTTTTCAGTTTTGAAATATTTGCACTTATTTCGATGTCACCCTGCATATATAATAAAACAGGTCAACAATAATTAATGAATTCCACTCACTACTCAGTGGACAGAAATATGAAGATGACTATATCGGAACATACCATATAGGATATCCCTCTTCGTGGGAAACAGAACAACAAAAAAAAGAATTGAATATAACAGGAAATACAGATGGAAAACTCATCACCTGTCGCTGGTTTCCGGTCTGTGCTATTTTTGAATAATCGATTTATAACACGTTGCTTCTGCGATCTAAAACATAGTTAATATTAAATATCGAATTTTTACTGAAATGGGAATTGAAGTTATAGGAGTTACATGGAATATCAAACTGAAATAGGGTGTCCCTAGACCAGTGGGACAGTTAAATATCTTCTGAACCAATAGGAATTTTCGAAATATTATAATTCCATATCATATCGCATTATGAGTACTAACTTCAGGAATGACTATATTTTATACGAGGGGCGCAAGAAAGGCTCACAAAATCGAACATCCATTTTTTCAAATGGAACACCCTGTATTTTATTGCATTCTCATATTCTCCTTGGAGAGCTGAATTCAACGACCTAGCACACTTGGGGTCTAGCGGGAATGATTTCCGAGATATAGGGTGTGGAAAATCGAAATTTTTCATTTTTGGGAATTTTTTGTGTCAAAACTATTCATTATTGGTCAAAACGGCTTACATGTCCATATCTCAACTTTTGATTTACTATTTACTCGTATTTAATTTAAACAAGTACAGGGTTGTGTAGAATTCTCAGTTTCAGTCGGAATTCCACACCACCCTGTATTTGTTTCGATTAAATACGAGTAGATAGTAAATCAAAAGTTAAGATATGGACATGTGAGCCGTTTTGACCAATAATGAATAGTTTTGACACAAAAAATTCCCAAAAATGAAAAATTTCGATTTTCCACACCCTATATCTCGGAAATCATTCCCGCTAGACCCCAAGTGTGCTAGGTCGTTGAATTCAGCTCTTTAAGGAGAATATGAAAATGCAATAAAATACAGGGTGTTCCATTTGAAAAAATTGATGTTCGATTTTGTGAGCCTTTCTTGCGCCCCTCGTAGAAAATATAGTCATTCCTGAAGTTAGCACTCATAATGCGATATGATGTGGAATTATAATATTTCGAAAATTCCTATTGGTTCAGGAGATATTCCACTGTCCCACTGGTCTAGGGACACCCTGTATATGAGAACTATTTTCAAAATTTTGATACCTGTCGTGTCTCCATTGGGACATAATGGTGACTTAGCAGAAAAGGGAGATGAATGGTCCCGCCACCACCCCTACAATTCCACTACTAATATACTCGAATCATAAACTTGTTGGAATTGGAATTAAATCTTGAATTTTGGATTAATTGAGAATTGAAATTATAAAAGGCACATGGAATGAGGAACTGTATTATATATATAAAAAATGTTTTCAAATTCCGTTGCTAAAACGCGACATACTCCTCTATTATTGAAAAAATGAACGGAATAGATAGGCAGATAGCCATCAATTATCGAAATGAATTGTATATAATTCATAAATAGGAATGGTCGTTAGTTTCTGGTCTGATTTCCTCTTCAGTACAATTTATCCGTCGATTGATAATACGTCGCTTCTTCTATCTAAAACATAGTTGGCATTATATCTCGAATTTGAAATTTATTGAGAATGAAGTCATGAAAGTTACATGGAACAAGAAATATATATAAAATATTTTCCGTTGCTGAAACGCGACATATTCTTCTATATAATACCTAAAAAATGAACGGAACAGATAGCCAACAGTTTTCTCAGAAATGAGAAGAACCTTATCACCAGTCGCTGATGGTATCTGATCTGGTTTCCTCTTCTATACAATTTTTCTGTCGATTAATCACACGTCGCTTCTTCGATCTAAAACATATAGTTGGTATTATATCTCGAATTTAAAATACATTGAGAATTTAAATCATGAAAATTACATGGAATGAGAAACTGAAATATATATGAAAACTTTCTCAAATTCCGTTGCTGAAACGCGACATATTCTCCTACGGAACAGATAGCCAACAGTTTTCTCAGAAATGTGAAACACTCTATATACCTAACCCATCAGGCGCCTACCCCGGTTGCAACGAGGGTTTACCGATGCCAAGGGTTGATACTCTCCCCTCGTAAGGGTACCTGTCGTGTCTCCATTGAGACATAAAGGTAACTATCGAAAAATGTTCTATGATATATCGCCTTCCATAACAAATATAAAATTTGGAAGAAATATTCGGGATGAATTGAAACATTGGTGGATAGGAATGGGAAACTTATCACTAGTCGCTGGTATCTGATCTGGTTTCCTCTTCTGTACAATTTTTCCGTCGATTAATAACACGTCGCTTCTTCGATCTAAAACATATAGTTGGTATTATATCTCGAATTTAAAATATATTGAGAATTGAAATCATGAAACTTACATGAAATGAGAAACTGGAATATATATGAAAACTTTCTCAAATTCCGTTGCTGAAACGCCACATATTTTTCTATTACTCAAAAAATGAACTGAACAGATAGCCAATAATTTTCAGAAATACTGTATATACCTAACCCATTAGGCGCCTACCCCAGTTGTAACGAGGGTTTACCGATGCTGAGGGTTGATACTCTCCTCTCGTAAGGCGTAAGGGTACCTTTCGTGTCTCCATTGAGACATAAAGGCGATGATCGAAAAATGTTCTATATGATAAATCGCCTTCTATAAAAAATAGTAAATTTTGAAAAAATATAGAAAATAAACTGAATATAATACGAAACAGAAATGGGACACTCATTACCGGTCGATAGTTTCTCGTCTGGTTTTCTATGTTATGAAATTTTTTGGTATGGCTCAAATGGTTTATTTATCACACGGTTTTTCTTCGATCTACAACATAGTTGTTGTTATGAATATGCAGATCTATCGGAGAATATTCTTTCATATATTAGCTTCCATAAAAATAATAATAATAATAATAATAAAAGAACTTTATTGAACAACAATGTTCAAATGAATATCAATAACTTCCATTTGAAATATAAATTCAGAAGAAATGTTGGAAATACATTGAATTTTAGTAAGCGATAGTGAGATATGAAATAGGGCATTGTAGTGGATACAATTTCTTCTCATCATGAAATAATTTTCGTGAACAGTCCTGTAACAAGAGAATTAAATTATTATCGATATATTCATGAGAGACTTTAGGAGTAAAGTGTATCAAATGAGATTGTTGAGGATGGAATGATATACGGGCGGGTGTTTACATTGAAAACATATTTCAAGATGGCGCTGAGTCATCATCTCCTATTCGCGTCCTCCAAATTTCGTTGTGATATGAGAAACCCCAACTCTTAATAAGTGAATCATTGTTATCATTATTATTATTGCTATTATCATCAGTAATCTTGTTACTATTATGATTATTGATTGATTTATTTAGCTCCAATATTTGATTAGTGCCCTATGTGTACCTCTACTATAATATTTTAACAGTGGGTAAATGATTTTTCCTAATTTAATTGAAAATATCCTTGAATAATCTGAGAAAATATCCTTTCAACTTGTTGGATACTTAGGGGGTTGTATGGAAGAGCCACCTTGTTGAATGCCGCCTCCTCCTTAATGCATTATGTTCATGAATAAAAAATTAAGACACATCATTATTATTATTATTATATACCTAGCGGATCAAAAGTTAGAAGGGGGTAGTGGACTTTATATAGACGGGTACAGTATACGGGAATACATAATTATGATAGATCAAATTGGATCACACTGTATACATGAATAATGGCTACAAAAATAATGTATTTCAGCAGAATAATAGTTTTTTTCATAACGACACTAGTGTCAATATGAATATCATTGATATTATTGTTCATATAAGTATGCCCGAAATGTAAACTGAAAATAAATTGCAGAAATAACATTTTGCTAACATTTTGAATATCAGTATGATGGTCACTACATAGTGTCGATACCAAATGTCGAATTGTCATATTAGGACCAATATGAAATTATTTAAATGCTTTCTCCACCAATAGAATCGACCATATACAATTAAATATTATATGCAACAGATCAATAGCTGGCTTTATTCATTATCCTGATGACTATAATTAATTATGTCATCCTTCTAACCGATTAATATGACAAAAGATGATATGGAAAAATATTCGGAAGAATAGTGATACAGGGGGTGACAAGAAAATCCGGAAGTTTTTCGAAATATTCAGAACTCTCGTAAAATAGGATTGCCATTGTAAAAATACCGCGTTGAAGTTGAACAGGGTGTCCGGAAAGCGCACTTTGTTACGGAGTGAAGTTTTTCTGTTTAATGAAGGCATTTTTCACAAAGGTTATCAGTATTAGTACCAAAGAAGGGAAGATTTGTATTTCGTGCAAGATAATTTATTCAAAATATTCGTAGCAGAGAGCTTTCGACTGTTAAGTCATCATCAGTGCGTACTCGTCAGGTTAACAGGGAAATTCGTCCATAAAAATATCTTTGGTCCAGTTTAAAACTAACGACATCAAGGTAAAATACGTTAGAAACAAATTAAAATGTGTTTCCCAACTTGATCAAGTTCACTTCAACACAACATAACGCAGCATGACTTAACAGTCGAAAGCGCTCTGCTACGAATATTTTGAATAAATTATCTTGCACGAAATACAAATCTTCCCTTTTTTGGTATATATTCACGTGAACACAGCCCAGCAACCCTCACTCATTAGTATTAGTATTACCAACGTATACTTTCTTTTCAACATTTCGAATTTCGATACGATTCCATTAAATTCCATGTGTTGAAGAATGGTATACCGAATTCCGAATTAACGAATTAACAGTTTATTCTTATATATTATATACCTATGAAGAAGTCTCTACGAAATGGCGAATGTTTTTGCAACATATTTCAATACCGCAGTATAAATTGACAAAGCGATTTATTCCATCCTGAATGAATCCGAAATTTTGAACTGTGTTAACTCGATCTTAACAAAATGGCGAATATTTTCGCAATTTGTCGCAATAATATCCATCTATCATCGTTATATGGAAATATACCGGAGCAAAATACCAACCACGTGATGAATGCCTCCATATACAGTATGATCCACGGTGGATGACCTATTAGAATTATCTGAAGAACGGAGAGATAGAACATTCTGAAAATTGGGATGCTTTGATAATTGAAAACTTTCTATCCGTCTGAAATATTTTCATCCATACAGTGTATTGCCACTTCTATCAGAAACAACTAGCAACTTTGTTATTTCAAACGGAACACCGTATATTTTATCACATTTTTAGATTTTTCCTGAAGAGCTGATTTCATCGATGCATCACACTTGGGGTCTAGCAGGAATGATTACAGAGATATAGGGTGTTCAAAATCGAGATTTTTCAATTTTAGGATTTTTTTGTGTCAAAAATATTCATTATCGATCAAAACAGCTAACATGTTCCTATCTTAACTTCTGATTCACCATCTACTGGAATTTAATTGGAAAAAATACAGGGTGCTTCAAGATTCAGAATTTTGATAACCCTGTATCTGTTCCAATTAAATGCTAGTAGATAGTGAATCGAAAGTAAGATAGGGACATGAAAGCCGTTTTGATCGAAAATGAATGGTTTCGACACAAAAAAATCCTAAAATTGAAAAATCTCAATTTTGAACACCCCATATCTCTGTAATCATTCCTGCTAGACCCCAAAGTGTGATACATTGATGAAATCAGCCTTCAGGAAAAATCTAAAAATGGAATGAAATACAGGGTGCTCCATTTAAAATAACGAAGTTGCTAGTTGTTTCTGATAGAAGAGGCAACATTGTATCGATGGAAATATTTTAGACGGATAGAGAATGTTCAATTATCAAAATCCCAATTTTCAGAATGCTCTGTCTTTTCGTTCTCCAGATACTTCTAATAGGCCATCCACCGTGGATCACCCTGTATATGTACATTTCGAATTTCGATACGATTCCATTCAAGTCTATGTGTTGAAGAATGGTATACCAAATTTCGAATAGTTTCGTATGAATAAGTCTCCACAAAATGCAGAATGTTTTTGCAACTCATTTTAATGCCTCATCTGTATAAATTAACAAAGCGATTTATTCCATCCTGGATGAACATGAAATTCTGAAATATATGTGTTAACTCATAACAAAATGTCGAATATTTTCGCAATTTGTTGCATTCATATCCGCATTTATCATCGTCATATGGAAATATACCAAAGCAAAATAGCAAACACGTGATGAATGCTTCCAAATATATTATTATACAAAAACACTTACCATCTTGGAAAAATACCACTTTCACACACTCAAATGAAAATACAAACAGTAAACCGAGTATGAATTCCAATTTTCCAATCATAAATACTTCTAGTTCTTTTTTTCTATCATCACTTTAATTGACCGTACACGAAGAAGTCTAGAACGAGACTGCTGATTGCGATTGGTTTGATTCATCTTTCAAATGACTAATTAGTTACATCATCCTTTCAACCGATTAATTCCCGAACAAGTATGACTAACTCCGATATCGATAGTAGGTACACGGGGTGGAGTGAAAAGAAATTTAAGGATATTTTGAATTCATATATTCAACAAATCAACGAAATGAAGGTTAACGGATATTCCCATGATATCAGATTTCTGATAATTCTTCTTACTGAAATTCTGAAAAGTAATAGGTGATTATATACCAATACGAGTTTTTGGAATTTTCCTGAAGTATTTTGAAATTCTATTCAATGTTCTTTTTCTAGATATGATATATAACTCACCCACTATTTTTGTAATTCGTGAAATATGAACACAATTCCTTATTCACGAATCCCTCCTACTTTTTCACATATTATGAATTGCAGATACAGATTGGTTGCATTTCTATATTCCAGCAGAGCAACCTGGAATCTAAGTATAGTTATCATGAGCAATTCATATTTTCTTTAGAACCTATTCGAGTCCAAGACTTCTTTAGTTCTTATAACTTACTTTGATAACTACGAATAATATCTGAAAATCAATATTTTCAGTGATCAAACTATTTGGCCTGTTCACCATAATAGCCAATAAACAAAATGGCTTGAATGGAATTGAATTGACTTTGACAAGGTTTACTTTGCCGTAGGTGAAAAAGTATCATCCCCTTGTATCCTGTATACATGTAAGCTACGTTATAAAGGTGGTGAAACGAAAATGTTGCACAAATAACATGAAAACTCTGTCTGAGATATGTCTGACAAACCTAAAATCAATATATCACAATATTATCTAATAATATTGATGTCAATAATGATGCAACGTCTCATAAATGTTTGCCTTCATAATATTGTATTGGATACTTCAGGAGGACATTTTCGCAATGTTATTTCAACAATACCTTATAACAGAACAATATTTTTGTTATGTATCATGTTCATAGTGGGTTTGTGTAATTTTCGTTTGAGAGTGCTCAAACTAATAATGATGATATCATGATTGAGAGCCAAACTGGCCAAAATTTCAGTTTGTTGAAAGCCCAAACAGAAATTTAATTTAATTAAACCATCATCCATTTTACTATAGAAAAAACTACCACAATCGTTATACACGCAATACACACAGCTCGTATTAGTTAATTAGTTATTATTAGTGGACGGTGTATCGTCTGATACCATCGGCATCAATTCCGGCGTTCCACAAGGATCAATTTTGGCACCAACATTATTCCTGCTTCATATCAATGATCTGTTGGGAGTAACAACTTGCCCCATCCCCATCCACAGCTTTGCAGATGATAGTACCCTCCATACTGCGTTCTCTTCCAGAATTCCCATTTCTTCCCAGGCAACTAAGACCTCACGGCGCAGGCAGGTCGATGCTGTCAATGAAAATCTTGCTGAAATCACAGCCTGGGGAACAAACAACCTAGTTGAATTCAACGCCACCAAAACTCAAGCCTGCATTTTCTCTAGAAAGGCGGAACTCAGTAGGCCCGATATTGTAATGTCTGGCTCCACCATCCCCACCAAGCCCACCATATCTATGCTCGGTATTTCCATCAGCAACAATCTTTCATGGGATAATCATGTCAGATCCATCGCAAAAGCTGCTTCACAAAAACTCGGATTCTTGTTCCGTGCGAAAAGCTACTTTACACCTCAACAGCTTCTCATGATCTACAAAGCGCAGATACGGCCTGTTCTAGAATACTGTTCCGACATATGGGGTTCAGCACCAAAACATACACTGATGCTCTTAGATTCCTTCCAGAGGAGAGCCATTCGCCTGGTGGGTGACGCCACACTCACTCACTTCTTGACATCATTGGAACACCGTAGAAAGGTCGGCGACCTTTCACTTTTCTATCGATACTTCCACGGGAAATGTTCTTCGGAAATCTCTGCAATCATCCCTTCACTAGCAATACCAATCAGACGAACTAGACAAGCCCAGTCAGCACATCCTTTCGTTGTCAACCTCGAAAGATGTCGAACAGCACTTTATCAAGACTCCTTCATCCATAGAACGGCTAGGCTCTGGAATTCATTGCCTGTGGAAGTATTCCCAACAACATATAATCTCCAAAAATTCAAAAAAAATGCCAATACCTACCTTCTGTCCCTATCCTCCCTAGGAACGCACGATGTTCTTTGAACATTATAGGGATTCCCTTTCGTGCGCTCCAATCGATAAAAAAAAAGCACGTGTTTTCTGTTGTTCTTCCTACTTTGTACTGTTGTAGGTTGTAGGGGAGTCAGTAGTCAGTGGACAGGACAGTTCGAATTACGATATCTAGTTAGACAGTTTCGTAGTTTACAATGATTTCATTGCCGAACCTTAGCTACGCCACTGTGTCCGACCGAACGCTATTCTTGGCCAGGAGCGCCTGGGAGAGCACATGACCGCTTCGTCGCGCGCCGCTCAACCAACGCCTAGCCTACTCCTACTCGATCTAATCGACGCACTTCGCAAGAATCGCAAGTTCTGAGCTTCAGCTTCCACTTGCAGTCCAGTGCGCGGCCCGTACGCTCCTCCACCAATCGACAGGCACTCTTTCATACCCTCGACAAGCAAGAAACAGAAAGAAAAATGTCTCTCGCCGATCCAGTAGCTTTCATGAAGGATTTCCTCGCCGGAGGAATTTCCGCAGCCATTTCTAAAACCTGCGTCGCTCCGATCGAGAGAGTCAAGCTACTTCTGCAAGTCCAGCACATCTCCAAGCAGATCTCAGAGGAACAGAGATACAAGGGTAAGTAAAAAAAACGCCCCCGAGTTTCTATTTCGCTGTGACTGCATGATCTCGCCTACCCATTTTTTTTTTCAGATGATTCAATTGTTATGTAAGCGTTTGCGCTGACATTTTGTTAAATTGAATTGTTACGTATTTGCATGGGGCATCACATGATGCGTCGACAGAATTAGTATCTTATCGCAATACATTCTTTTTCCTTATCATGATTAATTACATGGCTCAATGAGTAGCGACGTGACTGATAATTCGCACTGAAGGCTAAATTAACACTTACTTATATATCTATTAACCTATTGTATAATTCCCTTCAGTTATGTACGTGTACGTGTTGATATATTAACGTCAATAGAATGATTTTTTTATTTTACCGGTACAAACTAGTATTGTTAGGATTTAAGTATCCACATTAAAGATCCTCCTATTATATTATGACTAGTGCAGGTAGAGGCAGCTAGGTGGTTATGTCAAATCAGGTCAAAAGCGCCATGACGAAGATTTGGATCGATACCAGACGATCTGAAATGGTGCCAAGAACACGCGTACTGTGTTTCTAGGGCACGTGTATTTCAATTATTACCGATGCTTCTATTACATAAAATTCAGTTGGTAGGTATATAACATCGAACCAAACCTTCTAATTCTAAAGCTAAGAAAGATTATATACGACTAATACTCAACCCGAAGTAATTAAAGTATCCCTATTCAGGGTCATTAGTCAATTTACAAAGGTCGAAAAAGTTGTGGCAGCTGCATAGAACCAAGCACCTGGACCACTTTGACCAAGAAGGAAAACAATTTATCACCCCCCATTGTTGAAAGGATGACATTACCACTTTTCATATACCTGTACAATAATATCCGAGGGGTAAATCACGGGCTGAAATTGGGTACACTAGACTTCCTTTATTGAAAGAATTCCCGGAATTCCTGGGACTACCCAAGGAATTCCTAGGAATTCCCAAAGACTACCCGGAATTCCTGGGACTACCTAAAGACTACCCGGAATTCCTGGGACTTCCCAAGGAATTCCTAGGAATTCCCAAAGACTACCCGGAATTCCTGGGACTACCTAAAGACTACCCGGAATTCCTGGGACTTCCCAAGGAATTCCTAGGAATTCCCAAAGACTACCTGGAATTCCTGGGACTACCTGAGGAATTCCCAGAGACTACCCAGACTTCCCAAGGAATTCCGGGATTTCCTAAAGATTTATCATACATCCCAAGGAGTTTTCAAAATTTTGCGTAATAATCGGTAGATTACGAATGAATTCCATTCGTGAAATGCAAAAAAAGTCAATCGATAGGTAGGTTGAATTCAAACCCAAGGACGAAACTTGGGCAATGAGAAAACATGTAGGGATTAGTGATAAGTACTCGGATAAGTATCATTAACACTACTGGGTGTTTCTGAATTCAAGTGACAGAAGCCTATACAGGTTTCTTCCAATTTAAATAAAAAATTAGTAGGTATGTATACCATTTACAGATTTTGCAAAAAAGTTCCGGTACACATTGAAAAAAAATCTATTGCCGATTTGAATGATAATTATTTTAACAGCTCATTGAAGTCTTCTTGAGATATCGTTCGGAACTCTTTAATTTGCCCACTCATTCAAGAATTGTGTTTACGACAAGTATTTCACTTTTGTTCACGAAGAATACCATTAGTCGATTTTCCCAATTCATTTCAGATGGAACAGTTGAAAATACAGGGTGGGCCACCAGTAACGCCTCGGTCTCTAGAAGGCTAACCACTTATCTTCTTGGAATTCTTCCTCTCTAGGAAATTGCATGTCAACATAGGCTACCATTTAAAATTATTTCGAAACATACAGGGTGTCCCCAAAATCCATAAAACACTGAAATTAAACTTTTTTCTATCGAACACCCTATATATTATTTCATTTTGAGATTTTCCCTGGTGAGCTGATTTCAACAATCCATCATACTTGGGGTCTAGCAGTTATAATTACTGAAATATAGGGTGTGAAAAATCGAGATTTTCCAAGTTCACGAATTTTTTGTGTCGAAACTATTCATAATTGGTCAAAACGGCTTACATGTCCCTATCTCAACTTTTGATTAACTATCTACTGATATTCAATTGGGACATATACCGGGTGATCAAGATTCTGAATTCTGCACCACCCTGTATTTGTTTCAATTAAATGTCAGTAGATAGTTGATCAAAAGTTGAGATAGGGACATGTGAGCCGTTTTGACCAATTATGAATGGTTTAGACACAAAAAATTCTTGAACTTGGAAAATCTCGATTTCTCACACCCTATATCTCAGTAATTATAACTGCTAGACCCCAAGTATGATGGATTGTTGAAATCAGCTCACAAGGGTGAATCTCAAAATGAAATAATATATAGGGTGTTCGATGGAAAAAAGTTTAACTTCAGTGTTTTATGGTTTTTGGGGACACCCTGTATGTTTCGAAATAATTTTAAATGGTAGCCTATGTTGACATGCAACTTCCTAGAGAGGAAGAATTCCAAGAAGATAAGTGGTCAGCCTTCTAGAGACCGAGGCGTTACTGGTGGCCCACCCTGTATAGTGAAACAGGAAACGAAACGGATTCGATTAAATGGAAAACAAGTTGCGCATTTTGATGATCATACCAACGGCTTTGGAAAATTTTCACAATTGTTTTTAGTTTTTCAGTTATACAGGGTGTTCCTTAAGTACGTGTAGAAAATTCAGGAACATGTTGCTGACGTCAAAATAAGAAGAAAAGTTCGTATAAATATATGTCCGAAAGTTATCCGTTTCTGAGATACAGAGTGTCAAAGTTGAATTCTTATCTTTGCTTTTTGTTAATAAATTCCAAAATAATTGTGATAATCGAATGAAGTTTGGTAGTTTGTCTCTTTCGTGGGGGTGGCGCTACCTACATGTCTTTTGAATTTTTGAACAAAAAGTCATAACTTTTCTGTTCGTACCTGTATCACGTTTTATAGTAAGAAAATAGATTTCTAGGACATTTTTGTGTAAAAAGTATATTCTTGGTAGAGGTCGATGCGAGCAACTGTTTTCAAGATATTGGGATTTGAAACAATCGATGCATTTGAATTAATTCCATTGGGCTCGTAAGTCGACTCTAAGCACTTAGAAAAGATACGTCAGTGCATTTTTCTTCTTTCGTTCAATATTCTCCTCCATTCAACAATTCAACATTGGAATGTAGCCAAATGATGATTCTTACTTCTTTGTATCTATTTTTTTTGGCCATTTTGAACAATTACTTTTATCAATTCCCTCAACTAACTGTTTTAGTATTTATTTGGTCCTAATTACAGTTATTATTATCAGTATTGATAAAAAAAAAAAATTTCCTTGCCTACTTGATAAATCAATTTTGAATTCCTACTTCTTCGTCATTCCAAATTACTTGCATCGATTATTGAAAATCCCAATAACTCGAAAACTGTTGCTCGCAGAAGAATATGTTTTTTACACGAACGTGTTCTAGAAAACTATTTTCCTACTATAGAACGTGATACAGGTACGCACAAAAAAGTTGTGACTTTTCAAAAGACTCAAAAGACATGTAGGTGCCGCCACCCTCACGAAAGAGATGAACTAACATAAAATTTGATATTGTCATCGAAAAATACTCCGAAATACTAAAATTCATTTGAATATCACAATTATTTTGAAAATTATTAACAAAAAACAAAAATAAGAATTCAACTTTGACACTCTGTATCTCAGGAACGAATAACTTTCGGACATATACGAACTTTTCTTCTTATTTTGACGTCAGCAACATGCTCCTGGATTTTCTACACGTACTTAAGAAACACCTTGTATAAAGAAAGTGAATTTTTGGAATATCTATTTGTTTTTCTACGTTATTATTAGATATATAGAAAACTCTAAAAATACTTCTACATGGCATCACTTGATGAGATTTAACGTGGTGATATTGATTTCTCCACGCGACGTTTCGTATTCGTAGAGAAATCAACAACTATTTTTCCAAATACGGCCCTGATTATCTGTTCACAGATTTCGAAAGTTTTTTTTATTCTGAGTTCAACCATGGGGAATCATTAACAATTTTGTAAATTTTCGAAATCCATTGGTATGACCAGGTATGACCCTTGGAATGCGTAATTTTTTTCTCATTTAACCGAATTCGTATCTCTTACCGTTTCCGAGATCCCTCGCGAGACCCTCATGCTGCGCAACCACATGCGCGACCTTATCATGGTCACACTGTTCAACTTTTTTGTTAAGTACCAATATCTATCGAGAAAAAATAGTTGAGAGATTGAAAATGGCAAAGATTTGTTATATTCAAATTGAAAGTAAGAGGAAAAATTCGAGAGATCAGACGACTAAGTTTATGTAAAAAAACAATTAGAAGAGTTGAAATAATTTACTAGGTATTTGAAATGAACATTCTCAGATATATTTATGAACACAAAAAAATGGATATATATATATAAAGAAATACATTGAGAATTCGCATTCTCCATGTGATAAAAATATCAATTCAGAATTACTTTCCACGTCCTGTATGATGAATGTCAATTCATCATACATTCAAAAATTACTAGGTATTATTTATCGTGCACAAAACGTCGACCTTCTGTATCTAGGAATCGGCAATAAAATGTCAATCAATGAAAATGATCGATCTATCATTGTACAAAAATATAAGGAAATGAAGCGAAGGTTGAAATAAAGTAAATGATGATATTTCTCCAATACCTACCTGTATCATTGTATACATCTTTGAATAGGAGAATATTGTATTTTTTCAGCTTTTGTGCAAAAAAACTTCAAAATGTTTCTCGGGATGTTTCTCTATGCCACATGTCTGTAGCAATAAAAGTTTTGGCCCCTATATAAAGATTGTTTATGAAACTAACTCTACAGTTTATAGATCGGCTCATAGTAAGTCGCTAAATTTCATACTTATATTTCTGTGAACTCGTTTGTCCGAATTGCAAAGATATACAGGCTGTCCCTAATATGTA